TTCTTACGGTTTTACTATCACATTTTTTTCAGTTCGGTCGCGCAGCAAAATCCCTATCCCTCCAAACCTGCCGTAAGGAACTTCGTTCCAATAAATGAGTGCTTCATTAAAGATTCCTTTGCTCTTAAGGTTTATTCTCGGGTATTTTTATTTCTCCTTCTATACGTACGTATGCTTTAAATACTATACAGTTATTGTAGTCCCAGACGAGGATAACGCGAATGTGAGAACAATTATTGGGGCATAACTATAATAGTTAGATATATGCTGTCGCGGCACTTTTTGTATATAATAATGTGTTCTACAAAGTCGTAGTAGATTATTTTATTCTATCATCAATAGTTTTCGCAGGGCACGAGATTTAAAGAATATTTTAAGTAACTTTTTTACACCTTGGGTTACATTATTGGACTTTTAGTAAGCATCCCCAAATTTTTTCAAAAAAGATTATATCCTATGTCACTCGGGAATAGTGTAGCTTCCAAATAGTGAAAGAATTTTTCAAATCGGTTCAGTACTTTCGGAGCCTATTCAATACCATCAAACAAACAAATCTTTCCTCTTTATAATATGAGTATAGATTCTTCGGTTCCTACGATAGCCTAAGTAGCTGTGAGTCTACTTTGCTAACTAAAGGTTTGTCTTTTGTTTTACTAAATATTATTATTATTCTCATGCAATCAGAGCGATACCCATTCCGTCTCAGGTCCCGCTTCATTAATAACCACAAGACAATAATGAGTGAATTTTGTTTAAATCCCGACTTCCTCTATATAATATACTATACTCCACGGACCAATGCGCTTTGTGCGAGTGTATGGAGTTAGAAAGTTTGCCTACGTTTACCGCTAGGGGCGCTGTTCCAACTGCATTGAGTTAACTTTTACGCTATCGAGAACGTTAAAAAAACTCGCACTAATCACACAGAACATCCATACTACCTGGGAGCCACTGCGGTCATCCACAGTGCGTTTCCAGAGATCTTTTTTGCCACGTACCATCCGGCTATGGAATGAGCTCCCCTCCACGGTCTTTCCCGAGCGCTATGACATGTCCTTCTTCAAACGAGGCTTGTGGGGAGTATTAAACGGTAGGCAGCGGCTTGGCTCTGCCCCTGGCATTGCTGACGTCCATGGGCGACGGTAACCACTCACCATCAGGTGGGCCGTATGCTCGTCTGCCTACAAAGGCAAAAAATAAAAATTAAGAACAACCTGTGCTACGTACTCCCTTGAGTAACATAGCCAAGGTAAGGGGATGGTAACCACATCTGCTATGACAAAATAAACTAAAATATCTCTGACCTCTAGTACTCTGTGCAAGTGTACACATGTAACCAATAGCTGTTTACAGCACGGATCACTCAGTGACGATTCGCGATCGAAAGATGTCACGTAATAAGCCATGGGAGGTAAGTTATTATAGATCTTACTGAATGTGTTTGGTCAGTAGAATAGCTAATCACATTGAACCAATTTCAAAACTAATAAGGTAGAATTTGGCTATTTATAAAACAATTAAGCCTTTCTGTGTGCAGTTAACGTCCGTCTGGTGTAGTGGTAAGTGACATCGTCACTACACTAGGGGGTCGCGGGTTCGAATCCCGCCAAGGGAAGATCTTTGTATGATAAGTATAAAATGTCTTTTCCAGGGTTATGGATGTATATTAAATATATGTATGTTTATAATCAAAATCTTACATTTATATCCGTTATCTGGTACCTGTAACACAAGTTCTTTACGAACTTATCACGGGACCAGTTAACGTGGCGTGATTGTTAGTAAAAAGTTAATAAGTCTTTTCTCAGGGTCTCCAACTCTTTGACTATAGTTTGTCAATTGTATAAAAAAGACTTGGTCGAATAGATAAAGATGTAAAATTAGAATTAAAAAAAGCACAAATTCCTTCAATATCCTTCTTGCTTTAACGGTAGGCAGCGGCTTGGCTCTGCTCCTGGAATTGCTGAGGTCCATGGGCGACGGTAACCACTCACCATCAGGTGGGCCATATGCTCGTTTGCCAACAAGGCCAATTAAAAAAAAATGCCGAGAATTATTATATATTCGAAGAAAACAAAATGTATAATGTGGGTAATATTAATTTGAAATAAAATTTAAAACTTATTACAGTAGGAAATAAGACATTGTAATGTTTTTTGTCAGTCAAGTATGTGTTTGTGGTTTTTATATCTGATTGGAACTAGAGTCTGGTGTAGCTCTTGGCTCTTCATACAAGGCATTCCTGGTATTAATTTCAATTTAAACAAATGAGTGTGTTTTTAAATTTTTAGCAATATTCACAGCGTATGGTACAAATCGTGGTTGTCAAACCAATCTCAACTGTGTGCACTATATAATACGCTTTTATTAGCTTCAGACGTATCATGTATGTATGTAACGGAATCTGTGAACATGATTTTGACCCCCTTCAAAACATCGGATTAACTCGAATTGGTATAAAGGACCGATGATAATTAAATATTTAAAAAAAAATTGCAAAAATTGAAATTCAACTAAAAAATGAAAAATAAATAATAGTTTAAAAAAACTACAAAATACGCTTTTATAGAATTTCCAACATTAAATTAAAAATTAAATTTAAAAATAGAGTAAGAAAAAATTATTTTATTGTAAAAAAAGCGTGGGGTGCATGGTATCAGTAGTTATAAATATTTTATGAACAGATATGAGTAGAAGGGTTATTTTGATAATATTCCGAAAAACACCCCACGCTTTTTTGGAAAATCTGGGTCTGCGGAGGGACTTCGGTTCCTTCTGTATTCTGTACCGTATGCTCCATGGGGAGTGCTCTGAGGAATTGTTCGAGATGATAACATCGTCTCGTTTTTACCATCGCACCGCCCGCCACCGGAGTAGAATCCATCCTTACTACCTGGAGCCACTGCGGTCATCCACAGTTCGTTTCCAGAGATATTTTTTGCCACGTACCATCCGGCTTTGGAATGAGCTCCTCCCCACGGTGTTTTCCCGAGCGCTATGACATGTCCTTCTTCAAACGAAACTTGTGGAGAGTATTAAGCGGTAGACAGCGGCTTGGCTCTGCCCCTGTCATTGCTGACGTCCATCGGCGACGGTAACCGCTCACCATCAGGTGGGTCGTATGCTCGTCTGCCTATACGGCAACAAAAAAAACCTAATAGAAAGACATATATAAACAGTTTCTTAATAGAAGCGTGCTTATATAAAAAACTATTAAGAATCCTTTCTTAGTTATCACGTGATAGCGTCGTGAAGCCATTACATAAGCGAAGTGTAGTTAGTCCTTATGTATTTGCCCGATCAATACTGATATTCACCTCTCCCTCTCTCGCACCTGCCCACTGTCGATAGAATATTCTGGAGCTGCGCGGCTAAGGCTTCTCTGTCGGCGTCTTGGGCGTTGGCTATCAGAAGTATTCTGTTTTATATTCCCCCGGCTCTGTGATAATGTACACTAAATATTATTGCGTAAAGAATTGTTGCTCGTAGTTTTTGTTAATGTCACTTTATGCTCACTAATGTTCACGGCTTTTAGACAGCCTGATTGAAAAATATATTTTCTTAATGCAATGACATTTTTCTTCGTAAATGGGTATAACTACGGACACAGCTACAAAAATGCCTACGCCTATTTTAAGCACAAGCCTCAGATGAACTGCGACGCATTTCCCGCTTAAAAAACGCAATATCTACATGTCTGTATCCACCAGCGAATAAGGATCATAAATGCATTTACTCTGGAGATTTCTTTCAATAATTGGAACCAATATTTTTTGTTCAGTAATCTAGTTGAATGCGGATTATCGTTTTTTAGGCGAATGAAACTGACCGCGAGCCAATGTTTTTTTATTTATTGCATAAGTGGGTGGACGAACTCACAGCCCACCTGGTGTTAAGTAGTTACCGGAGCCCATAGACATCAACAACGCAAATGCCGCCACCTACCTTTAAATATGAGTTCTAAGGTCTCAGTATAATTACAACGGCTGCCCCACCTTTCAAACCGAAACGCATTACTGCTTCACGGTAGAAATAGGCGGGTGGTGGTACCTACCCGTGCGGACTCACAAGTGGTCCTACCACCAGTAAAAATCGTCCGAGCGGGCTAGAAAAACATCCCACCAGCAAATAAACATCATAAAAGCATTTACTCTGCAGATTTCTTTCATATATTGGAACCAATCTAAACAATCTAATTGAACGCGTCTTATCTTTGTTAGACGAAAATTAAAATGGCCGCGCGCCATATCTACTTGATACGGTAATCACGATGCTTTCTCGTAATAGATATTGTAATTCATTTGTAACTCGTCTTCAATATTTCCTTTTCAATAATCTTCTATCTTCTTCTTCTATATACATATAAATGAATTGCTGTTCGTTAGTCTCGCTAAAACTCGAGAACGGCTGGACCGATTTGGCTAATTTTGGTCTTGAATTATTCGTGGAAGTCCAGAGAAGGTTTAAAAGGTAGATCAATATGAAAATTCTCGGAATTAAATAAAGTTTAGGTCTTTTATTTATCGATTGAGGCACTACGAAGTCTGTCGGGTCAGCTAGTATCGAATAAAATGGCACAAAATAATAATGAATCGTTTTCTATTATTCATTGTAAAATCTCTGACAAATTAGCAGTGTTTTTTATTGCGTAGATAGCTGAATATTGCATAACTATTGTGCTACCGTTCAAAATGACACGCTTGGTTGCTTCATGGCAGACGTGGGCAGGATTGTGACACCTACCTGTGCGGGCATGTTTTCTCATTGATTGTATTCAAACAATGAACAAACTCCCTCCCATTTATTTATCAGTTCAACAAGAGATCGTTTGAGATATTAAGTCTTCTATTGTACTCGGATATTATCTTATTATTAGTTTCTGTTTTAGATTGAAGCAGTCTTTTCATTCGTTAACAAGAAATGAAGACTTCAGTAATAATTAAAAAGTGCAGCATAGAAATTTGCCTTTGCTATTTTTGTTTTGTTTCCCTTGTTTTCAGATGATGAGAATTAGAATACTTCTGCTCGCGTTCGGGGTTGTGACTGAGGGGTGGTGCCTCGCGCCGCCCTCGCCACCCCCCGACGACCGCCCAATGGAAATCCCGGAAAACTTGAGAGGGAGACAGCTAGACACGCCGGCCGTCGTTTTGCAATTGAAATACGACGATGGGGAACTGGATAGGATATATCTGGCTCAGTTCAGGAGGGGCAACGCGCCCGTCGAGCCCCCAGTCCCGGCCCGGACCGAGCTGTGTGCGGACCTATGCCATTCAGGTTACAAAATTATTCAAATCAACGCGAAAACGTTTTTATTTCTGTTTAAGTTTCAGCTTGTATGAACATAAAACGAAACTGTTCTGAGGAAAATGTAGTGTCCGTGTTGTTTGTACTTTTCTTTGGTAAGTATTCATATCTTGTTAATACGCTTTATTTAAAACATCATTATTCGATCTTTAGGATTATCATTTATGACAATCATTGGTTTATTTAAAAACTAGCTTTTGCCCGCGACTTGGTCCGCGTGGAATAGTTCACAAATAATGCTTTATTTTAGAACAAATTTGGTTAGCATAAAAAACGTTATAGTGAGCCAACCTTAACATATAGACATATGCTGTCGCAAATTTTTTTTAGATCTTTTAAAGAGGAACAATTCTGTCATACATTATTTTAGCGAAACTTTAACCGTTTCAGCAGCGCACGCAGCGGAAGATCTCAAAAGGGGAAAAAATACCCCGATTATGAAACATTCTTTATTGGTGCTCCGTTTGTATTGTTCTTAGCGTGATGTTATGGGCTATCTAACACTGAAAGAATTGTTCAAATCGGACCAGCAGTTCCCGAGATTAGCGCGTTCAAACAAACAAACTCTTCAGCTTTATAATATCCTTAAATTCATCTCTTGACGCAGGATTCATGTTTAATTTGTATTTTATCTCATGAACAAATTTGCAATATTCCGCTTTTTTTACTGTGAAGATTGCAGATAAGTTTTAGCTAGGGAAGCGCTTGAGATGAAGTATGAGGAGTTCTTGTATCATAGAACGTCTGACTCGCCCTCAAGCTCAGAACGAGAGGTTTATTAACCCGATAAATAGGTGAGATAGTGCGCCCGCTACCTAAGCCCCTAATCTTATACCTTTAAACGAGCAATTCTTGTATATTAATATATATGTATATAACCTGAATCTCGGAAACGGCTCCAACGATTTTCATAAAATCTAGTATACAGGGGATTTCGGGGGCGATAAATCGATCTAGCTACGATTTATTTTCAGAAAATGTTGTTTTATTCGTGTTTTCAATAATCAACTCTTCCCGACATCTATTGGCGAATATTAATACTATTTTTCTTAATTGAGGGCAACTAACCGCTTTAAAGACACAACAAGATGGCGTTATAAAAAAAAATTATTTATGACAGCAAATTCGCGTCCGTAATTATGATTATCGGTTAGATACAATCAGATACAATCAGATACAATCAGATACAGTCAGTTCAGCATTAACTTCGGTTTTCACGAGGCGCGGGCACAACTAAAACTACTCGTGTGATTTAATTTCGCGTTTATAATTTTTTATTTTATTATTCATATCAAACGCTTGGAACGCTACCTACAGTTTCCGGTTACTACGGTACTCATAGACGAACCGTAAAATATTTCTAATTAGGATGTTAGTTAGACGTAATAAAATGATTTTTAATACGGCTACGTTATTTTAAGCATGTGTGGATTTTGGAATAGTTGATAGCTTTTTTTTTTTTTTTTTTCAATATTATTATTAATCACTAAGCTGTTTATTTATCTTTCCAAATTAATATAAATGAATTAATAACGAGTTGTCAGTTACGCAGAAGGCTGCTGTTGCATCTTCATGACTTATTGTCTTTGGTCGAAATTTCCAGAATGGATTAGCTCTAATAATAAACGCGTTGGATATTCTCTTGTATATCTTGTTCATGCACGGGATTAATAGTGCGTACAGTGATTTCCTTTCGTAGTCCATAGCATCAGCCTAGGTAGGTTCGACCGGTGGTAGATGTACTTGCGATCTATCTAGCCCAGTGCTGTTAGCATCCTTCGGAGGCTTTCCCTCCTGGCTGAATCTTCGAGTAACCCATCCGCCTTGGCTAAGCGATAATGCAACCGGACTAGCCGCTATCCTTCTACTAAAAGAACGCTTCATTGATACCACCACTTCTAACTACTAGCTAAGTACTTCCATTGGACTCCACAGAGAAGAGGAAATTGTGGGCAACCCCGATCTCATGATCGTTTGATACCTCTATAGGAAACTACTGAGGTACTTCGGTACTCTCCGAGTTTTGAACCATTCTAAAGGTAATGCTTTAAAACCTGCCTATTTCTGCCGTGAAGCAGTAATGCGTTTCGGTTTGAAGGGTGGGGCAGCCGTTGTAACTATACTCGAGACCTTAGAACTTATACCTCAAGGTGGGTGGCGCATTTACGTTATAGATGTCCATGGGCTCCAGTAATCACTTAACGACAGGTGGACTGTGAGCTCGACCACTCATCTATGCAATAAAAATAAAAATAAAATTTTTAGATGGTTCAAAAGTGTCAAACAAATTTAGAAACTATTCTACAACGGTGAGGAATTTGAAAAATTATTTTCCAGCTGGACTATCGCGTTTATGTGATTGCTGTGCTCTATCCAGGTCTTGGCGGGGCGGTTTGTGGCGGGACTTGCACCCAGATGATCCCCGTCGGTCTACAGTCTGCCCTGGAGGAAACCAACAGCACTGATGCAATATACGGAGAGCCTCGATTCTCTGTGTGTCCTGCGCTCTGCGGCAACAGCTTAGGTAAGATAAGTATAACAAGTTATTTGAACTGATCTTTTTTTTATTGCCCTTGTAGGCAGACGAGCATACGGCCTACCTGATGGTGAGTGGTTACCGTCGCCCATGGACTTAAGCAATGCCAGGGGCAGAGCCAAGCCGCTGCCTACCGCATAATACTCTCCACGAGCCTCTTTTAAAGAATGAAATGTCATAGCGATGGGGAAACACCGTGGAGGGGAGCTCATTCCATAGCCGGATGGTACGTGCCAAAAAATACCTCTGGAAACGCACTGTCAATGAACGCAACGGTTCTAGATAATATGGATGAGCTCTGCCCGATGGCGGGCGGTGCGATGATAAAAAGGAGATGAGGGGATCATCTCAAACAATTCCTCAGAGCACTCTCCATGGAACATACGGTACAAAATACAGAGGGAACCGAAGTCCCTCTGCAGACCCAGAAAATGTGATATCATCATCTCCTGCTGCAGATGAGCTAACGATCAACCTTAGCAGTAAGTGGTAAGTGGCTATCATCAGTCGTGGACACCAGTAATGCAGCTACTGCTAGGTCTTTATTGTGTTCGGGTGTTGTTACCTTTAGGACATAAGGTAGTAATTTGAACAACTGTCCTTCAAACCTTCAAACAGAAATGCACTTTAGCTTCACTGCAGAATATATAGGAAGGTCCTATCAATAATAATTAAACAAACTTCATAATGACTTCAGGCCAGGTAGGTGCGAGTATTTCATTAGAAAAATTGATTATTGGAATTTGAACACCCACATGCTCGAACTGTTGTCTTTAGTATATCAAACGTGTTATCCGCTTACATAGGTGGACGAGCTCAAAGCCCACCTGGTTTTAAGTGGTTACTGGAGCCCATAGACATCTACAACGTAAATGCGCTACCCACCCCGAGACGTAAGTTCTAAGGTCTTAGCACAGTCACAACGGCTGCCCCACCCTTCAAACCGAAACGCATTTAAGGTTAAAAGCACGCACGACTTAAAGAGCTGGTTTGACTTTATGCCCAGGCTATCCATTATGTAACTGCGTGCACCCTGAGGAAGATCACGCCGTGGACTGGAGCGCCGTCTGCACCGCATTCTGCACTGATGGATACACGCTGGGAGGTGAGTGACTCCACGTAATAATAACTAGATAAGATCTCATACCTTGTTTTTTAAAACCCAGTTATAAGCAGACGAGCATACGGTCAGCCTGATGGAAAGTAGGCACTGTCGCTAAACCAGCAACTACTTTTGAAGACTCTTCTCAAACCTTATGTGAAGAAAACGGGTCACAGCGCTCGGGAAACAACATGGAGGAGAGTTCGTTTTAAAAACGCCAAAGATCTCTACGAACGCGTTGTGGATGAACTCTGCTCAGGTGTTCGGGGCGATGGTAAAAAGGACATGCAAGGATCATCTCGAATGAATCCTCGGAACATACTTCATACGGTGTAAAGGACAGGGAAAACCAAATACCCTCTTTAGGCCTAAAGTTCTAAAGCTTATAATGGATTCAGGCGGCATTATACTTCAGTTCTTTTTAAATACGCTTATATGTTCGGACGCTGGTGCGAACTCCGTACCACCACCTAAAGCCAATTCACAAATTTCCCTGGACTAGTTTTTATTGCGCGATCTTCGCTCATTAGGCACGTCTGGTAAAAAGAGTACCCAATATCAATACCCATATAAGAAAACCCTATTAAGCCCGTGCATTCTGATTCTTTTATTTATGCCGTAGGCGGGAATATTGAAAGCACGGTCCTTTTGGTGTTAAGTCATTACAGGAGCCCATAGACGTCAATGCAGCTGCCGCCACCCACCTTAAGACTTGAGGTCTATGATTCGATTGTATTATTACTCAAAAAAAATATTCATTCGTGAATAGGTCTCAAGTACGGATTTCTTTAGAAAAATTGTTACCTCTCTGAGAGATTCGAACTCGGAAACAGTTGCATCGCTCGATACGAATACTTCGGGCGTCTTATCTTTTAGGCCGCGACGATTTTGTGACGATATGTATCGGTAAATAATGAAACGCACGTGTCCCGCGTTGTTACCGCGACATGAAGTGCACATCTACCAATGAAATCTGAAGACGGATTTAGCAAAATGTAAAAACGCGAAATCCTAAGCTCATGATCCTTCATCTATAAATAATAAATAATAAATTGCTGTTCGTTAGTCTCGCTAAAACTCGAGAACGGCTGGACCGATTTGGCTAATTTTGGTCTTGAATTATTTGTGGAAGTCCAGAGAAGGTTTAAAAGGTAGATAAACGAATGAAAATGTTCGGAATTAAATAAAAATAACAATTTTGTTTTTCCTTTGATGTGTCCCCCGTCGGACGGATTCCTTTTGTTTGTTTTAAGTTTATTTTACACAAAAGCTTAGGTCTTTTGTTTGTCGATTGAGGCACTACGAAGTCTGCCGGGTCAGCTAGTTGACAATAAAAAAAAACCGCTTAAAACATAAACATACAACGCCGATATTTAGCCAAACTAATTGTTACCAGGTTGCCCAGCCTGTGCCTCCCAACGGAGCAGCCTCGTGGCCGTCGCTGGTCGGATCCTCAACACTTCCGAGGGTTGGCAGGCCTGGTGCAACGTCCAGTGCCGCCAGGGGCATGGTGGGGCCGCGTGCAATTGCGATCGAACACCATTCCAGTAAATAAATATGAAACTATGAAGTTTTTCGTAATGGCATCAAGATTCATGACTAACTCGATAATTTATATTTATATATTTGCTTTTAAATAATCATAATATTAATTTATTTATCTGCATTCGTAATTAATTGCTTTTAACACAATTGTTGTAATGGTGACTCGTCTGGGAATTAAGATCAAAAGTTGTTCAGAAATCAAAGGAAGAAAATTTTGATACGGATTTTTGATGGATGATTTGTTTTTTTAATTTAACTGCACATTAAATATTTATAATATAAATATTTACTAACAATCACGCCACGTTAACTGGTCCCGTGATAAGTTCGTAAAGAACTTGTGTTACAGGTACCAGATAACGGAAATAAATGTAAGATTTTTATTATACACATACATATACTTAATATACATCCATAACCCTGGAAAAGACATTTATATTTATCATACAAATATCTTCCCTTGGCGGGATTCGAACCCGCGACCCCCTTGTGTAGTGACCATGTCACTTACCACTACACCAGACGGCCAGATTACATTTAAAAGTATTTGCCATTTTTATTTACAAGATTAATTCCTGTGCTTTTTAATTGATTAACTATTGTTTGTTGTACATTTTATGGTATCCCTAAAATGCAATTTTTCAAAGCATCCGTACACCTTTACACATTTATAAAAATTAAACCATTAAAATTAAATTCTTTTAATAAGTATTCTCCAACGAATAGCTTTGAAATTGTTCATGTTAGACAAAGGTTTAAAACAACCAGTACTTCTCAAACTTTTCATATTCAGTTAATTAAATGAATTCAATACGTTTTTTTTATGGCTGCAATGTATATCCTGACAATTATATATCATAGATAGATAATGGGCGATCCAAAGAGTCTATAGGTATTTCTGGAGATCTCGCGTTCAGTAATTAGTCCGAACCACGTTGTCAAAATTTTATCATGACAGCTTGTCAATAGACGTGTCAAATACCATGTCATCCGTTGACATTATTCATTACAGCATGGAGCCCGTGTTCAATAAAGACTACTCTAGTTTTCACTTACTTAAATTCTAAAACATTGTACTTGCTTTTGTCTTGAAATGCATCTATCTTAAATGAATTATCACAGGAGTTATAATACTCCATGCTTCTTTTAGTTATCTTATTTAACTAGTAATATAACATTATGCACGTTTCGTAGGTTATAAAAGTAAGAAGGATACTAATTGTTATCATGTTTGTATATTATAAAGTACTGCGCGAACGACAATATTAATTGTAGTTATTATAATGGTAATTTAAACATATAGAGTATTATACTTATTACTTGCTTAAGACACGCTCTGTTTAAATTAGGTTTGACTGTCACACTGTTCTCTCATTTATTACAATTTTATTTTCATTTATTTTTGGTTTTATTTTGTTTTAATTAATCCTATCTCCCTAATCCTAACAGTCAATTATTTGTTTGGACTCCCTAAATTTGGCAATTTTTGGATATTTGTATCGTCGTAGGATGTAGCTGATAATACCTATTACCTGGTTAATATAATTAGAATTACTTAAATGTGTATGTAAAGAATTAATGTCAGTTTTTTCTTAATTAGCAGATAGTATTGTCTAGTTTTTAAATAGCTGCTAAGCACAGTTTTATGTGCTTTAGTAATTGGCTGCGTGAAACGGATTTTTTGTGAAATGTCACAGATTCCCGCTCTTTTAATTATTATGTAAGTATCTATGTTGTTCACGTAAGAAAATGGCATTCTCTTTACAATAGTGAGAATTATCGAGAAACTTCGAAATCTTCTGTTTGTTTAAGAAAAAAAAAACATAAGCACATAACATAAATTGGCGGTAACAATCGCTCGGGTCGAGTTAATAAAGAAAAACGAATAAACTGGTCGCTTATGTATTAAAGTCCAATTTGTTTTGTCAATGTCAATGGCTCTTGACAGGCAGTTGTGCGTCTCAACAGTTGATGCCGATTTCTTTATCAAAAACCGCTAGAACTGGACACGTGTAGATAACATAGCCGACCAGACAGAAACTGTTTTCATTTATTGAATCAATCTCAATTCACATCCCTTAAAGGAATCTGTAAACGCTATTTTGATGATAAGACGCCCAATTAACTTGAGAATTAGCAAACCTATTGTTTACACAAGGACAAAAGATAATGCAACATCTTAACTAGAAAGAAAAATAGTTTTAGTTCTTGCTAGAGAAGATAATATTTTTTTAATGTGTATTTACGAATAATCTACATATATTTTGTTTTAAAAATCATTCAAGTAAATTCTCTTAGTATTATATAGTGATTATCAAGAACACATAGTGAAACATAATATTAGCTGGGTCCACGACATCATTGGCCAAAATTAATAGTAACGCAAATAGTGATTACCATTGTAATTATTTTTACGACTTAATCTCGAGTTTTATGTTATCGATACATTTAAGTACCGACGACCGCGACACGTAAAATGTAAAAATACAAAATAAAATAATCAGAAATACATACAAAATGTATTTGAGGGCGTGTACATTCTATGCCAAAAACAAACTATGACAAATTCTCGCGTACAGATTATACTGAACTTTTTGGCGGGAACGCGAAAAAAAAAAAAAAAAGGGTTAAAATTGTGTGATTTGTTACATTTTGTCTATATTTTAGTGTTTCTTCGGGTTTAAATGTGTAATAACGATGGTTTATTGACTGTTTAAAATCTGTGAAAGTGCACAAATGTGGGCAAATGAAACAAAGCCGCTGGACGTAACTTCTTGGGATCCTCTAAAAAGCCCACTGAAAAAATCACAGTAAATGATCACCATTTTATTGAGATTATATTTCATCCCAGTTGATTAATATCTCAAATTGATCATCTTCATTTCATTTAATTTTACTCCATGTTATCATTGCACATAAAATTAAGAATATAAATTATAATAAGGTCACAAAATCCCTTTAAAAAAACAGACTACACTAGGCCGATTTACGATAAACTAAACGGCTTGCAGTCAAAGTGAAGAGTCTTCTTACATCCTATGATTAAAAATATCACTCACCGGATTACCCTTTGAAACTAGATATGCACTTAGACACTGATAAAAACAAATGTATCTAGTTAGACAAACCTGAACGATGTCTAAAAACTAGGACAATAACCAATAAACTCACTTCACATCATAGAACTACAAACGTAACAGACATGTAATATTTTTTATTACATTCAATTTAGGTAAATTGTTACAATGAAAAAGGAAAATTCTTTCATTGATTAATCAGTAAACTTAATTTGTATACAAACTTGTACGTAGCCAAACAAAGACATAAAGCTTTATTTACGGTTTCATAGTTAGTGCTTTCATTCATTCCGAAGTTTCGGACACATTACAGTCCACGTACTTGAACTTGTACATGTACTTGAACTTGCACTTGCACTTGCACTTGCACTTGAACTTGAACTTCTACTTGAACGTTTTGCTAACGACTGATTAATTTTCCATACTCAAAACGTGGTAATTATTCTAATTATAACTACGACTCGAAGAAGAAGCTCCGAAATGTTTTCATTCTACTTTGTAATAACTTTAACCACCTGGAAAAAGTCACAAGCAGACATGACCCCAAGCTTGTATTTCCTCTGCTGTGGTGTAGCGGGTAGTCATCATAAAGCACAGGATAATATATATGACAGATGCCTGAATCTCTCTAACGACATTTCCAAGACTGCATACCTAAAGTTCCGAACAACAACATTTGGACCCTCAGTCTACCGAGCTATACCACACCCGCTCCGTGGAAGATCTTCCCTTTATCCTATCAAAATGAGAACCAGATGATTGATTTACATACTTATATAGGTCTTTAATGGACTCTCAAATAATCATGATCTCATCATTGGTTCGTAGGATAGTCCCATCACTGGATAAGATCGCAAAGAAACTCAGCATTTGCATTTATTCATATATTTATGTTTTATTTATTTTTATTGCTTAGATGGGTGGACGAGCTCACAGCCCACCTGGTGTTAAGTGGTTACTGGAGCCCATAGACATCTACGACGTAAATGCGCCACCCACCTTGAGATATAAGTTCTAAGGTCTCAGTATAGTTACAACGGCTACTCCACCCTTCAAACCGAAACGCATTACTGTTTCACGGCAGAAATAGGCTGGCAGAAATATTTTCCGCGTAATCATCTATTGCCAAGTCACTTTCCTTCACAAGTCTACGTCTGAGATTAATTGTAACGCGACGATCAATTTAATTAATTGTTACAAGCAATTCTGTGTCGGCGCAACGCGTTCAGAGCATAGAGATTGCAAGAGCTGATGGATATGTTCTGAGATCATACTAGGAGGAAGGGCCATTTTGTTTCCGAAAGATATCCAATTGAATATGGCTTCGATCTTTGTTTCATGGTGAATGTGAATGTTAACGGCCGGAGGTCCGGTAACTGCTTAAAGCCAGGCGGACAGTGAGCTCATATGCCCGTCAATAACAATAATAATAAATAAGGATTATCTGGGTGTCTTGTCAAATTTTTCTAAATCCGGTTAAGACTCTGGTGGTAGGACCTCTTGTGAACTGGTGGTAGGAGCTCTTGTGAGTCCGCGCGGGTAGGTACCACCGCCCTGCCTATTTCTGCAGTGAAGCAGTAATGCGTTTCGGTCTGAAGGTTAGGGTAGCCGTTGTAACTATATTGAGATCTTAGAACTTATATCTCAAGGTAACCGTAAGTAACCGCTTAACACCAGGTGGGCTGTGAGCTCGTCCCCATCTAAGCAATAAAAAAAAGTCCCGGTTTTGAAATTGTTTCATTATGGTCACCACGTGCCAAAACCGCGACTATTGGTATTCATACTAAAATACACTTTCTATTGCTGGTCGAAGTAAATACACAACAGGATTGATCAAAGTTCATGGTTTTTGTGCTCTGTTTAAAAAAAAAAAAAAAAAACCGGCGAAACAAACTCAGCGGCCCTTTTTTTTTTTGGATTTTATCAAATATTTTCTTTTTTTTTTAAATAAGAAAACATATTTACATAATACGAAAAAACAAGTCAAAAAATAGAATTCAAATAAATAATAATAATAATGAAAAATGAAAAGGCCAGGAGCGAACGCCTTATTCCCACGTAGTGCCATCTAGTAAAAAATCCTTAACTTTATAATGTGCCATGTTGCACAAACGTTCCTTGACAGTTTTCTTAAATCTATGAACAGGTAGTAGTTGAACGTTTTGTAGGATCTTGTTGAAAAGAGCGACATTAACAATCCCGAAAAAACAATTCATTTCCACGGGACACCACACTGACACTTTTCCTTGAATGTAGAGTCGTCTCTACAGCTAGTGGTCAATAAATGCAATAAGCGTAGTTAATAAATAGCAATTTATGTGGCGTTCAGCTTGTTTTTCAAACACTCGACATTATTTTGTCACATTTACCACAGATACATAAGTACTACTAATTACAAATATATGTGTATTGAGGGGTGAAATGCTACGTGGTCTTGTAGGTATATACGACAAAGGCAAGATCTTCCACCGAGCAGGTGATATTGCTCGGTAGACCGACGGTCCGAATGTTGTTGTTCGGAACTTGTATATATGCGCTTTATCTTGAAAATGTCGTAAGCGAGATTCAGGCATCTGTCAATTATCTTGCGTTGTATTATGGCTACCCGCCACATCACTCCCCTCCGAGATCGAAGGTCGTGTCATTTTTAGTTATCGTTGTCCGTGCTGAGATTAGCTTGCAAGTGCCAGTGCTGCTCGAAGTTTGCGGTGAGTCGAAACTGAGCTTGAATGCTGCGTGATTGTCGCCAGTGCTGCTCGAAGTCTGCGGTGAGTCGAGACTGAGCTTGAATGCTGCGCGATGAGGCAGTGTAGGTGCGTGCCGTAGGGCCAGGAAGCGCGGTNTCTCAGTATAGTTACAACGGCTGCCCTGCCCTTCAAACCGAAACGCATTACTGCTTCACGGCAGAAATAGGCAGGGCGGTGGTGCCTACCTGCACGGACTCACAAGAGGTCCCACCAACAGTAAAATAGAAGAATGCGGCAGTTCTATTAGTTAAAATTAGTTCTTGACATTTTGTTTAAATCCCGCCCAAAGACGCTCCCTACGATACTACTTACTTCAGAGACGGCTGGTGCTGGTGGACGTGCTCTACGAACTTAGCATAGTTCCTCATGTTTCTGTTGCAGTCCATACACTTTATGGCGAAGCATTTCTTGTGCTCTTTCTGCACGTGAGCCCTCAGAGGCACGACACCTTCAAAGCCCTTGAAACAATCCTGGCAAGTCCACTTATACCTCATCCAGCCCTTGCGAATTTTGTACTCAACTTTTGGAGGGCGCTCCTTGGTCGGCGCTGGGGGCACGGCTTCAGGGATCTCAACCATCTTGTATATGGACTTGTGGGTGTCTAGGAGGTCTGTCGCAGGGAATATCTCGCCGCAGTAGGGGCAGGTTGTGGCCTCGCTGATCCCGTGCTCGGTTAAATGCGCGATACATTGGCCGGCATCGTCGAACCTCTTGTTGCAATACGGACAGTAATTTCTGAGGAATTGGTTTTTTATTTAAATACCTTGATCACCGAAATAAATACCGCTACGCTACTATGCCTAGACAGCAAAACATGTTTTACATCAATAAAATTATGGCAGCGTGAATTTTGTTGATTGCCTCGAGAACTGGTGGTAGGACCACTTGTGAGTCCGCACAGGTAGGTACCACCACCCTGCTTATTTCTGCCGTGAAGCAGTAATGCGTTTCGGTTTAAGGATGGGGCAGCCGTTGTAACTGTACTTGAGACCTTAGAACTTATATCTTAAGGCGGGTGGCGCATTTACGTGGTAGATATCTATGGGCTCCAGTAACCACTCAACACCAGGTGGGTTGTGAGCTCGTCCACCCATCTAAGCAATAAAAATAATAATATAACAAAAGACCCAAAATCAAATGAAATCTGTTTCATTTGGCCTTTCAGACATTGAATCGTCATGGGCGCTGCATTAGAACCCAGTATCCCACTGAAAACAATCGACAAGAAACTAAGGACTTGCTCTGTTCCAAATATATTATTATGTAAGGTCCCACTATAGTTGTGTTATAGAATCGAAGCTTGGTACTCGTGTCTTGAGGTAGCCACACTTACGTTGTTAAAGTCTGGTGGACTCTGGTAACCATTTAAAACCAGTCTAAGCAAAAAAAAATTTAAATCTCACAAAATATTACTGAATCATTACGTATAATTTAAATAACCTTAGCCAGAAGAAGCTGGAACACATAATCGCTGGGTGGCAGAAGTAGGTAGATGTGACTTCTACCAGTGCGGGTACTACTTACAATACAGTGTGCTTAATGCGAGTTTTTTAACGTTTTCGGTAACATNTCCATTGGCAGTCACAAAACTCTTCTGAACGACATCTTAGATAAATAACAGGTTAAGTATTAACCTTTATTTAATGCAGGTTTTGAACCGTATTCTTTGAAGGAGACGATTATATTCAAATCAATCTGTATTGACATATCAATAACATTTTTTTGTCCAAATGCACAGATTGCCACCTTTGATAATAGACGACTCAAATATCCCTTTTCACAGGGAGTATTATAACGTAACATTTATTGCAATATTGAAATGCCCGGAGCGAGCAATATCGAAGAATCCTGGATTGCAATGTTGACGATAACATAATCGTCAGCAATGCCAAGGACAGAGTTAAGACGATGCCTTCCGTGCCTAAAATGCAATAAAATTACGTTAGTGTGCAACCACGAATCTAGAAAAAATCATGAAAACCTTTTTATTTATAACAATTAGCCGGACACAAATTCACGAGCGGGCTCCGTATGTCGAGAACTTGTTGTGCGGTGTTGCTGTAATTATTACAATAAAAATGTCGGAAACATGAAAATGCGAAGGTTCATTTATTTCATTCGAGATTATTAAAAGCTTTCAATAAAACATTTATTTAATTTTCTCATGATAACGGTAACCGAATCAGATTTTTTACAGAAAGATGTCATTATAACATATTATTATTAATATTATGATAAATGGTATTTGGTATAACAAACATAATTAACTATATAATATATTTGCCTTGTAATTTATCATGCAAATACTAAAAATGTCATGTACTTTTGGTTGGAAATGCGGCTCCGCTATTTGCCAAGAGATGGCTCTGGTTGTCACAGAGTTCAATTATAACAGTAGTATTTAGACTAAACTATTAATAAGTCAACATGTATCTAATGTCTCTAGTAATAAAAATAACCCAAAAAAAAAAATTGGCGTAACTACTATACGATTGAGACACAGACCTCAAGTCTCAAGGTGGTTGACATTCACGCTGTCATTTCTAGAGGGTGTATTAACCTCTTAAGACCTAATGAACCGTGAGCGCCTCTACGCGTCTAAGAATAAATTTTACAACTGTAGGCAAGTCATTATGCTTTCCATTCCACAATTATTACATATTATTAATATGATTGATTTTATAAATATTTAATGTTAAGGATTTACCGTAAAATACATATATTTTTAATACTAGCTGGGTGAATATTTGAAAACGTACAGTCTTGATGTCTCGCTGTGAATAACACATCAAACCTAAATCGATTTTGATCACTTTATTTTATATACATAGTTCTACATAGAATTACCGTGATCAATCAAATAAGCGGTTGATATTATTATATTACCATTTGTAGTGTTCTTTACTGGTATATAACATACTCATCTAATATCTTGCTAACACCTAACCTAAAAAACTCTTGTTTTAGATTATAATAATATAGTTATAATAGCTAGTACGTAAATGGCGTTTAAGTTCATTAATGTTTTCATACTGAAACATAACTGAAGCGAACATTTCAACACTCTTTTTTTTTCCCTACCTATGCTGGTAGCCTTGAGAGGCTATTTCAGCTTCACCCTAACGTGTAGGTGAGCTCACGGGGCTCAAACCGGAGTGATGCTAACACTTGCCCTAGCAAGAGTAGTTCTTCGCAGAATTTACCACCGGATCGGAAACGCGACTCACTGAGAAGATCCGGCGAGAAACTCAGTGGGCTGTGTCTATGTGTTAATTCGCTCATCGAGCCCTTCGTCGCAAGCGACGGGTTCGGCGAAGACGGTGACCGGTGCTTGTGATGCCTAAAAGCACCGTTAATGGATCGGGAGGATCCGTATTGACGTGCTTAGGGCGACGTCGACTGTTTACCATTCTGTCTACAGGATCGGGTATATAGTTTCCAGCGGCCACGACAAGAGGGTTCTCATGTCGTGCCGCCTTCTCGAAATGGCGCAATGATGCCGACTGTAGATACTGACTGACAGAGTCGAGCTCCAGGTCATCGTGGAGATCCACGTTCCTCAGGAACCATGGTGCTCCGACGGCTATCCTGCAGAATCGGGATTGAATAACCTGAAGGGGCTTTAAGTTAGTGCGGGGAGCAACACTCATACTTCATTAAAGATGTATACAATACGAAAGTTTATCGGACATCAATAAGCGCCTCAATATCTTAATTATATTCCCATTGAACAAAAATATACTAAACATGAACACCTAAAAATACACATACTATTTATTGGGCAACCTCTTAGTCTGATAGCGTCATGTAAAATTACAAATTGAATTCAAATATTTTCATTATCATTAATTCCTTATTTCAAAATTAACAATGTCTTCGTAGCTTTAATAAGTTTTATTGTATTATGTCAATATATTATTATAGAGGGCTGTCATTTCATATTTTCATTTTATTGTATGCAAGCAATTTACCTTCCCGCCTTTTTCATTTTGCAATTAGGGTGAATCAGCCAGTGGTATAGCGCACATGCTTTCAATACTGTAAGTAATATGTTTATTTACACCTTCACTATCAAAATAATCTAGTTTAGAATGTCTTAAAATCGCATATCGTAGCTGACTGGCACATTCTTATTACTTAAAATTTGTAACCACTGAATTACAAAATCAGATTGCCAAAAAGAATATACATAATATATAAAACAATGTAATTTAGTATTAATATGTTAATAATAAACGAAAAAGTAGTAATTTAACTTGATAATATCATTATTTGTTATTGATTTCTGTTAGCATTATTAGAATAAGTTAAGTTTTAATTATTTAAAGTAGAAACTATGTTTTTTTTGTTGTTAAAATATATGTTTATCTTAACATCGATTGTTTGTAGTTTTCAATAAATTATATTAGCGCTTCAGTGGTTTTTTAATGACGAAGCTGATTTTTTTTTATTGCTTAGATGGGTGGACGAGCTCACAGCCCACCTGGTGTTAAGTGGTTACTGGAGCCCGTCGACATCTACAACGTAAATGCGCCGCCCACCTTGAGATATAAGTTCTAAGGTCTCAGTATAGTTACAACGGCTGTCCCGCCCTTCAAACCGAAACGCATTACTGCTTCACGGCAGAAATAGAAGGGGTGGTGGTACCTGGCGCGGACTCTCAAGAGGTCCTACCAGTACTTCGTCAAATCCGAAAGTAGTGGTCGTATGCTGCAAAGCTCAGACTAGAACATACTTCAGAGCTGCCTAGACACTCAGGGGACTCACCTCGACAGAAAATCCAGACATTTTTTTAATTTAAATAGGTGAACGAACCACCGGATCACTTTGTGTTAAGTGGTTACCGGAGCCCAAAAGCATCAGCAACGTAAATGCCACGACCCACCTTGCATGACATGAGTTTTTTTTATTTTATTTATTACTTAGGTGCATGGACGAGCTCACAGCCCACCTGAAGTTAAGTGGTTACTGGAGCCCATAGACATCCACAACGTAAATGCGCCACCCACCTTGAGATATAAGTTCTAAGGTCTCAAGTATAGTTATAACGGCCGCGCCACCCTTCAAACCGAAACGCATTTCTGCTTCACGGCAGAAATAGGCAGGGTGGTGGTACCTACCCGCGCGGACTCACAAAAGGTCCTACCACCAGTAAATGAGTTCTAAAGCCTCAGTATTAAAGTCGTCACAGCCTAAACTATAAGACGCCTGGTGCATTCTTATCGAGCATGCGACTGTGCCGATTCCAATCCGAAACACAGGTACCAATTTGTCTAATGAGATACGTATTTATAAGGTTTACCCCACTCTTCAAATCGGAACTGATTGTTGCTTGTTGGTAGAGCTAGGAAGGCTGGTGGTACCTACCCGTGCGCTCTACCACCAAACATTAAGCAAATTATAATTTTTTTATTTGATTATTATTAAACGATGTTATTTCTTCATTGTGGAAGTCATTCCTAAGTATGTATTAAGTACGTGATACATTAAAAAAATTAGCCTGCCTCTGATTTGCGAAGTCCGCACCAGTGTGCTTAGTGCGAGTTTTTTAACGTTCTCTATAGCGTAAAAGTTAGCTCATATTTGTATGGAATGGGATCGTTTGCGAACGTTTGCCGCTAGGGGCGCTGTTCCAACTGCATACAAAATTGAGTTAACTTTTACGCTATCGAGAACGTTAAGAAACTCGCACTAAGCACATTGAGCCCTGAAACTGCGATACTTTAAGACAAATAGTTTTTTTTTTTTATGGAAACTAACGACATATTTTAGCAGATGCCCCTAAACTTATATGTTGTTAAAGTTACGGCATTTAATTATTATGACTAAACAAAGAAAAACAAAATTAAGAAATCATACAAGTCTTTATTTGTAATAGACAAATTGATTAAATTTTAACAATTTGTGGTTTCTGAAAATTTACAAAATCCTTCATCAAAAATAAAATACAGGATAGGTAATATGTTACTGCCATCTACAGGCTACAGGAGCAATGAGAAACTAATCAAAGCGAAGTCATCTAGTGGCCAACGCCCGTAAACATTTTTGTCGAGTGCTCGTGTGCTTATCTATAACTAATTTATGTGTATTATCTATGGTCCGCACAGCCGCATCGCTCTATAGGAATATAATGGACATCATATCCTTTAAGCCACGACGAATTTAAATACATTTCGATATCAGCACGTTGTCAACATTACATGATATTACGCCTCACATTGTAATTTAGAAACGCACAAGTAGCGCCATCTATTGGTATATAGTTGCACACAATCCAGTTTGCAATCACTTCGCAGTTGATCGTAGCGCCCGCTAGATGTCAGGCAAACCAGTTCTCACCAAAAAACGAAGAGTTCGACGAGCAACCCAGTCCACAGACCCAACCCACTGAATTTCTCGCCGGATCTTTTCAGTGGGTCGCGATTCCGATGCGGTTATAGGCACGTGGTGGTAGGACCTCTTGTGAGTCCGCACGGGTAGGTACCACCACCCCGCCTATTTCTGCCGTGAAGCAGTAATGCGTTTCGGTTCGAAGGGTGGGGCGGCCGTTGTGACTATACTGAGACCTTAGAACTATATCTCAAGGTGTGTGGCGCATTTACGTTGTAGATGTCTATGGGCTCCAGTAACCACTTAACACCAGGTGGGCTGTGAGCTCGTCCACACATCTAAGCAATAAATAAAAAAAAGGCAAAATATAATTTGCGTAATTACTGGTGGTAGGACGTCTTGCCAGTCCGCACGGGCATCACCACTCCGCTTTTTTCTGCCGTGAAGCAATAATGCGTTTTGGTTTGCAGGGTGGAGCAGCTGTTGTACTATACTGAAATCTTTCCTGTTTCAATTTAGATATCGGCGTTGACGTTGTTGAGCTATGGGCTCTGGGGACCATTAGAGCAGTAGGTCGGCTGTGAGCTCATCCAACCATTTAGGCAATACATAACTAAACAAATGGACCACCAACATTCGTTGACGCCACGTGTCCCTGCAAGAGCACATCCTTTTAGTTTCAGGTCATGACGCGCCTACAGCTTACAGAAACGAACAAAGGACCAAGGATTCGAGAGAGTCCTCGAGTCCAGAATCTACTTGGACAATTGGGATGGCTGGCTCCTAGCTGCTAGGTCCACAGTCAGCTGACAAAGGCGGAACATGTACAGATTGAAAGACAAATAAAAGTATACGTTAACTTATATTTATTTATGTGTAATTACATTACTTTATGACATGATTGTCGGTACTTGAACCATTGCATCATGGTTCACTTGCGGACTAAATAATAACTAGAGGTCCTGCAGTAGTCGAAATTCGACTATAATTAATTGGAATTGTATGTTTGTACACTATTATGATTGTATTTTATACTTCTATAATTACAAATTTCGCCAAGACTACACTATAAAAAATATTAATAAAGACAAACAATATATAATCTATTCTCAATTTGACAACAGACGTCAAGAACAAAAGCTTGACAATAAATAGTATGCATGCGTGTGTGCGTCAAATACATGGTATGTAGTGTGTGTAATGTTTTCTTTATTGTTTTAATGTATCTTTTATGCATTATTTTAAAAAAATATTAGCATTGTGCACTTCTTCTCTATATTCTCTATAAGTGTGGAAAATTTCATACTCCTCCGTCCGCGCAATTTTCGTAAAAAGGGATACAAAGTTTTTCCTTCACATATTAATATATAGATAATAATGGTTGGTTCGAAGTAAGTATCAGTTGAATGGAATATTTGAAATGTATTCAACTAATAATTATTTTTAGTAAATGTATCTTTTTTGATTGGTTTTGTTACTGTTAAGTATGTTTCAATGATACTATGTACACATATGGACTTGTTGTTGTCTGAAATAAAATAATTCATTCATTCATTCATTTATTCATTCATTACTGTCATTCATTCATTCATTTGGGAGTAGGAAGTAACAAAGACAAGCTCGCGAACATGAACCCCTTTATTTGGAGCGCCCCTGGTCCCCGCTGGTCCTAGTGGCTGCCTCGTGCTGCACCAGCGTGGTGCCGTGCACCGCCATCATGTGCTTGTTCAGCAGCGGCCTGATGGTGAAGGCGCGGCGGCACAGCGCGCACACATGCGGCCTCGTGCCCGTGTGCTGGCGCTCGTGCGCGACAAGCAGGTTGTTGAACCTGAACCCCTTCCCGCAGGTCTTGCAGACGAACTGCTTGACCTCCTCGTGGCACTTGAGGTGCGGCCGCAGCCGGTTCTTCGACCAGAACCTCTTGCCGCAGTGGTCGCACTCGAACTGCTTGAACGAGCTGTGCTTGGACAGGTGCTCCAGCAGCGCCAGCTGCAGGGAGAAGGCCCGCTGACAGATCCGGCAGACGTGCCGCTTAGTCCCGTGTAGTCTCTTGTGGCATCGCAAATTCTCTTTGCTCTGGAAGCCCTTGTTGCAGACGTCGCAGATGAAGCTGCGCGGCCTGTCAGGGTCGTGGGTGAGCTTGTGGGTCCTGAGGCGGGCCGGCGTGGCCAGCACCTTGCCGCACTGGTCGCAGGACCTGTCCCGCCCTTGCAGCGCTTTGGGCGGCGCGGGGGCGTCATACTCAAGCATGTGCTTCTTCAAGATCTTGTTGTCTTCGAAGATCTGTCCGCAGCCGTAGCACGGCGCCTGCGGACCCGACGTGTGCTCCTCGATGTGGGCCTTCAACTTCTTCTCGCTGGGAATTCTTTTGTTGCAGAACTGACAGAACTCTCTGGAAACGAAGACAGAACTCTCTGGTTTTACTCAATTAATAGCTAGCGGTTAATTCCTAAAGAAGATTACTAAGGTTCTAAGCCTGTCAGTCAGCGTAATTTTTATTGCCTACATGGGTAGACGAGCTCACAGCCCACTTGGTGTTAAGTGGTTACTGGAGTCCATAGACATTTACAACGTAAATGCGCCACCCACCTTGAGATATAAGTTCTAAGATCTCAGTATAGTTACAACGGCTGCCCTGCCCTTCAAACCGAAACGCATTACTGCTTCACGGCAGAAATAGGCAGGGCGGTGGTGCCTACCTGCACGGACTCACAAGAGGTCCCACCAACAGTAAAATAGAAGAATGCGGCAGTTCTATTAGTTAAAATTAGTTCTTGACATTTTGTTTAAATCCCGCCCAAAGACGCTCCCTACGATACTACTTACTTCAGAGACGGCTGGTGCTGGTGGACGTGCTCTACGAACTTAGCATAGTTCCTCATGTTTCTGTTGCAGTCCATACACTTTATGGCGAAGCATTTCTTGTGCTCTTTCTGCACGTGAGCCCTCAGAGGCACGACACCTTCAAAGCCCTTGAAACAATCCTGGCAAGTCCACTTATACCTCATCCAGCCCTTGCGAATTTTGTACTCAACTTTTGGAGGGCGCTCCTTGGTCGGCGCTGGGGGCACGGCTTCAGGGATCTCAACCATCTTGTATATGGACTTGTGGGTGTCTAGGAGGTCTGTCGCAGGGAATATCTCGCCGCAGTAGGGGCAGGTTGTGGCCTCGCTGATCCCGTGCTCGGTTAAATGCGCGATACATTGGCCGGCATCGTCGAACCTCTTGTTGCAATACGGACAGTAATTTCTGAGGAATTGGTTTTTTATTTAAATACCTTGATCACCGAAATAAATACCGCTACGCTACTATGCCTAGACAGCAAAACATGTTTTACATCAATAAAATTATGGCAGCGTGAATTTTGTTGATTGCCTCGAGAACTGGTGGTAGGACCACTTGTGAGTCCGCACAGGTAGGTACCACCACCCTGCTTATTTCTGCCGTGAAGCAGTAATGCGTTTCGGTTTAAGGATGGGGCAGCCGTTGTAACTGTACTTGAGACCTTAGAACTTATATCTTAAGGCGGGTGGCGCATTTACGTGGTAGATATCTATGGGCTCCAGTAACCACTCAACACCAGGTGGGTTGTGAGCTCGTCCACCCATCTAAGCAATAAAAATAATAATATAACAAAAGACCCAAAATCAAATGAAATCTGTTTCATTTGGCCTTTCAGACATTGAATCGTCATGGGCGCTGCATTAGAACCCAGTATCCCACTGAAAACAATCGACAAGAAACTAAGGACTTGCTCTGTTCCAAATATATTATTATGTAAGGTCCCACTATAGTTGTGTTATAGAATCGAAGCTTGGTACTCGTGTCTTGAGGTAGCCACACTTACGTTGTTAAAGTCTGGTGGACTCTGGTAACCATTTAAAACCAGTCTAAGCAAAAAAAAAAGTGTGTGTGTCCGCTCCGACGCACGACTGGAGTTTACTGGATATAAAAAATTAAACGAAACAATACGAGAAATAGTTCTATATTACGACAACACGATACACTACAGATTATTAACAAATTAACGAGACACAAAACAAACGACTAACAAATATATGAAAATACAATAATGAGAGAAACGCGCGATCAGTACGAGGCTTTGTGGCGGACTGCCGGCGCAGCAGCCCGGCGTCACCTGCGATAACGCATTTCGTGTGACATGCGCAATCAGGCGCATAACGCATTTCGTGTGACATGCTAGTACGATTTTGGTCCCCATAATTTTCATACCCCGGGCCTATATATGTAAATCGATTCTAAAGGAGTAAACTCCAAAAAATTTAAATCTCACAAAATATTACTGAATCATTACGTATAATTTAAATAACCTTAGCCAGAAGAAGCTGGAACACATAATCGCTGGGTGGCAGAAGTAGGTAGATGTGACTTCTACCAGTGCGGGTACTAATTACAATACAGTGTGCTTAATGCGAGTTTTTTAACGTTTTCGGTAACATAAAAGTTAACTCAAATATGTATACAGTTGGAAAAACGTATGTCAAATACGTTTTTAATTAGTTAAATTGGAACCCGCTTGCAGATCCGGCATAGAATTTAAATTTAAGTAATCTTAAGTATTAAGTGTATTATTATCTATGTTAAGGATATGAATACACCGGGCGTAATCTCAATTAGGCCAACGCGACTTGTCAATGACAGTCACACCACTACTCTATTTTCCCGCTCAAACCTCAACAGGTGTTTACATAATAAAAAAACTCATCTATACTAAATAAATACTTATACTTAATAATATTATAAAGAGGAAAGAATTGTTTGTTTGTTTGTATTGAATAGGCTCCGCAACTTCTAAACCGATTTAAAAAATTCTTTCACTGTTTGGAAGCTACAAAATTAGGGATCCTTACTAAAACTCCAATAATGTAACCCAAGGTGTAAAAAAATTACCTAAAATATTCTTTACATCGCGTGCCCTGGGAAAACTATTGATGATAGAATAAAATAATGTACTACGACTTTGTAGAACACATTATTATTTACAAAAAGTGTCGCGACAGCATATGGCTAACTATTATAGTTATGGCGCAATGAGTGTTCTCTTATTTAAAAAATAAAACAACGTCAAACATCGTTGAAATTTTTGTTAAACACCCGAGCGGAGCCGGTGCGGGCCGCTTGTAATAAATAAAAATATACCTAAGGTCTTCCCGATGCCCTCTAACATGCTCGATAAATGTACTGAACGTGTTAAATCCATCATCGCAGTCTGCGCATTTAAAACCAAAGCATTTCTTATGGTCAAATTTACTGTGGTTCCTCAAGTCGTTCATTGAGTCAAAAGAAACAGAACAATGTAAGCATTTCCACTTGTACGATTTCCACGAATACACAAAGACGTCAACCAGCGGCTGTGGTGTAATCTGTAATTCATTAACATTGAGATCATCGAGAACTTCATTGTTGTTCCTCCTCTCGACATCGGCGTCTTCGCATAGATCTTCGGTTTCAATGTCGAACGATTCGGTTTTGACTTCAACAGTCATTTCTGGAATATTTTCTTTCTCGTACATTGCACTCAAAAGGGGTTGAGAATTTCTCGCTTTCGTAAAAAAATCATCTGCCGTTTCTAAAAAGGCGTAACACCCTCTGCAAACGCATCTTGGCAGCTTACTGTTAGATAAATCAACAAAATCAATTTTTAGGGATTCAATGATCTTCATGATTCGATCATTTAATTCTTCGTTTCTTGTCAAAACGTATAGCTCGTTTTCGGCTTTGTTTTCGGCACAAAAACGGCAATGGGATTTTTGGACATTATCTAGTGCTATGTTGTTAGCCATGTTCATGAAATTATGTTTCCCCTTATTCCAAAACTACTTAAAACAACACATCGCGTATAAATAAAATAATCACGAAAATATAAACACTAAAGGTCCTACAACACTGCATGGAAATTCAAAATCAATAATAACTTTCGAGTTGCTAGTGCTATAAATTATTTTGGAATAATCTGATGAAAAGTTAAACATGTTTAATGGAAGTGAAACTATAAGAGCGGCTTAAGAATTTAGAAATATGTTTTGTTACGGGAACTAAAAATGACTATTTTGTTACATAAGATTAAATTTAGAAATCGACTAAAATCTACTTACTACACTTACTAGCTAATAGCATCTTTACGATGTCAAACTAGTAGAGTTTTCAAGTAGTTTGTACAGTTGGTACACAATTAGAAAAAAAAAACAAATTTAAAAATGTAGACTTCGACAAAATCGTCCGTATTACTGAATTCATTCACCAAATGTCGTCAGTGAGCTCGTTCTACATTACCATTCAGAATCTTTTCGCTTCATGATTCTGTACTCAATGTAATCATATGCACGGAATGAAGTTACAACTGAGGAATAAAGATGTTACAATTATATGATTTCATTTATAATACTAATTCTTATTTTAATTTATCTTCTTATTTTTATGAAAAATGATAATATGAAGTGAAATGAAATGATATGGTATGGTATGAAATATAATTTCAGTAAAATGGTGGTCATTTACTGAGATTTTTTCAGTGGACTTTTTGAAGGATCCCGAGATGTCACGTTCAGCAACTTTGTTTGATTTTCCCACATTTGTACACTTTCACAAATACTAAACATTTAATAAACCTCCGTTGATACACATTTCAGCTTGAAGAAATACTAAATAGACAAAATAAAACAAATTACACAACTTCACGCCTCGCTTTCCGGCCAAAAACTTCCCATTTAAAATACGATTTATTCATACTTCATTCAGGGTTAAGTGACAATAATAGGACAATAGTATAAGCTATGTTTCCTTTGCCGGTGCAATTTCGGAATTAAGCAAAAAAGTCATCTTTGTCATCTTTTTGATAGGTACCTTCTACTGAAAACGTTTTGTTTGTGTATAGAATTTATTTTCTTAAATTATGTTATTAAAATATGGAGAACATCGAAATATCATATTGCAGATTCTGCGCCGAATCTAAAAGCACCGATAAACTATTAAACTTACAAACAGACTGTCAGAAACACGAAGAAGTGCTCTTAAAACTGGCCTTTCTTAACGCTGTGTACGTCGACGTTTCTGACAAGAATTCACTACCGAAAACGGCTTGTTTAATATGTTACGAGTCTTTAAACAAAGCTTACGAGTTTTTACAAAGCGTCAAACAAGCCCAGGATGTTTTAATTGGCTTGTTTAGCACATCAGAGGACAACAAATGCGAGTTATCGGACGACGATCAAAACTCCGCTTTCGATGATTTTCTTAGTTTAAACGAGTCTGTGGACATTAAATTAGAAACTATAGCCCAGGAGAATGAGTCCTTGGTCGATTCCGTCGAAGTCAAAGTGGAGCCAAAAGAAGAAGTTGAAACAATTAATCCAACGTTAGACGTTCATGATATCATCGGGGCAGCCCTACAGGTCCCATTCGATCCGGAGATGACTATATACGCCAAGGATGTGTCGGACGTAGGAACTAAGGCGATTAAGAGTTGGAGTCAGTACCCCTGGATCTGTTCACACTGTAATATAGAGTTTATCAACATAGACATGTTGAGGTCACACTCCAAATTAGTCCATGGCAGATGCTCAGCTCTGTTCTGTGTTGATTGTAAAATAGGAAGAAAGGACGACTTTATGGCTTTTGTGAAACACGTCAGAAAACATAGAAAGTGTTTAAGGTAAAAATACTTTATATTCAAATGTATTTTTGTAACATTTATATGTTTAATTATTTTATTAATTTTAGAATAGGTCATTTTTTAAAAGATAATGTTAAAGAAGTTAGAAGAAAAAAAACAGTTTAATCTACTGGCAAGTTGTAATAATTAATTTAGATATCCACTGTCTCTTGACAGATTAACCGATAGCCTCAATAATTATAATGATTAATATTTACTTAGAAATTGCATGCTATTTTTTTTTTTTTTTTTTTNGTGTGGACGAGCTCACAGCCCACCTGATGTTAAGTGGTTACTGGAGCCCATAGACATCTACAACGTAAATGCGCCACACACCTTGAGATATATAGTTCTAAGGTCTCAGTATAGTCACAACGGCTGCCCCACCCTTCAAACCGAAACGCATTACTGCTTCACGGCAGAAATAGGCGGGGCGGTGGTACCTACCCGTGCGGACTCACAAGAGGTCCTACCACCAGTAATTACGCAAATTATAATGCTATGCTATAATGCTAGCAGAATTTAATTTTAATATTTTTATATAACAGGTATTTAATACGATATCAAGGTTGATGGTACCTTGGTAGATGTAGTGGTGTGTGTGAAGGTGTAGATTACCAACAGCTAGCTTCTATGATAAAATATATTTGGCATTTAGGGCAAGGTCTGTAATGGGCCTTGGCCTATAAGTCTTAATTTTCTGGTCGTGTAACACAGAAAATCCTAATTTAATGCTCTTGATTGTCTTGAAAAGCGGAACTTAAACATCATTACAATGCTCATTTTTTTAGGTCATCATAATTAGTCAAGTTCAATAAAAAAACCAAGCCTAATCTTTAATTAATTAAATCAAAATTTAATTGCTTAAATAAATACTTTCCAGAAACTTCTGTCACTATTGTGACTCAGAGCTTCAAGGAGACGAAACAATTAGTAGTCATGTCAAGCAACACTTTCAGAAGTCTCAAATAGCGTGTCAACTGTGTGGTGAGATACTTAATGATAAACACAATTTAGAAATACACCTACAGGACTACAGCTTGATGAAACCCAAACGTAAACCGAAGAGGAAACCAGGCACTGCCATCACTATTGAAGACTTAACCTGTAGTATATGTAAGAAAGTGTATAAGAACACAAACAGTCTACGAGATCACATGAAACTGCATAATATAAATCGTAAGAGAGACTACACTTGTGATCGGTGTGGGAAGATGTTCTATAATAAAGGTACGCTGACGTCACACATTATGACACACGACAAGATACGTCCTCATATCTGTAGGATCTGCAACAGATCATTCCTCTTTCCAAATATGTTAAGAAGGCATGTGGAAATGCATTCTGGTGTGAAGCCCTACTCTTGTGAACAATGCGGTCGATGCTTCAGACTACCTTATCAGTTGAACGCCCACAAAATAGTTCACACAGACTCAATGCCCTACATTTGTCAATATTGTAACAAAGCATTTAGATTTAAACAGATTTTGAAGAATCACGAGAGGCAACACACAGGCTCCAAGCCATATTCATGTCAGTTCTGTAGTATGGAGTTCACAAACTGGTCAAATTACAATAAGCATATGAAGAGGAGACATGGCACTGATACAGCTAAAAAGAAAATCACTCCAGAGGGTGTTTTTCCTGTTGACCCCATCACCGGACAGATAGTACAAGTAGAAGACCCAGCCGGTACTGAGGAGTGGAAGAGTAAGATCATGATACCCGGGAAACGGGGGAAAAAGAAAAGAGTCAAACAAATTGACTGAAATAAATTTAGTTATGTTGAGATAATTGATAAAGTTATGGTTTCAAAAGAAATCCCATATTTCTGAATTTCAGACAAATAATTTGCAATGATTTTATGCATTACACAAATTGTGTTCGTATCAGACAATTACCTCCACTTCATATCAAACAGTGGCACATTACAATCACAAGACAAGTGAACACAAGCAGTGTCTTAAGGTAAACGGGCAGTTTTGTACAAGTACATGCCTAAGTAGAGATTTTATACAGGAATATTACACAACTGCTTAATGATGTCCACCAGGACACTTCAGTAATCAGATAATCATAAATGGTTGTTGCCTACATCTAAGAAGAAGCTTGTGCATTTTCTGTGTATAAATATGAGAAAAAAAAATTGGAAATCTAAAGCACATTGGTTTGGTGTTAACAACCATTGTGTTCCTGTGTTAGCCCGGTAGCATTAATTTTGATTATTCTGTATTATTTATTAATCCTCAAACTGCTAGTGACTAGCTCATCAGAATTCATCCAACTGTTATCAAATAAAGCCCTGACAAAACACACATGTAAAAATGAAATAAAAAATATCTATTTAGGTTTCTGTGTGTCCATAATTAAATCATAATTTACATTATATAGACTACACAATGTGTAAACATCTCTGCTGAAACGATTCACCACCTACACCTTAATGTGTACTAGAAACCGTTCAGATATTAACAAACATGCAGTGTGGGGTTTTCTGTGGCCAGCCCCTTGTAGAAACGACATGTCAATACAAGCCATTGTACAGTTTGTCTCTTTATGATGATTCATGAGTATGTGTCTTATTGTTCCTGTATACAAAGTAAATAATGTGTTTGATGTATTGTTTTGTGGGTCATCATTTATACATAAAACTTATTAATGCATAATATTTGTATATATGGTCATTTTAGTCTTGACGTGCATAATAATATATACATATATAGGCAAAAAATAATTATTTTATAATTGACAACATATATCCGAGCACCCTGTAACAAGCAGCGGCTCTGTGTTATGTCGCTAGGGACAACAAATGTATTTACTTGATGTACCTTCCTGTGCACGTAATGTATCGCATAGTGAGATTAGCCGACGCGCGGAATGTCGGGTTCGACGTGCAATTGTTACTACAAGCCGCGTCAATAAAGAAACGAATCGAAAATGGCATCTATGTACCTGCACTGACAGATGGAAGGGTCAACAAATAAAAAGAAAGATAGAAAAAGTTTTTTTATTTTTTTTTTATTGCTTAGATGTGTGGACGAGCTCACAGCCCACCTGGTGTTATGTGGTTACTGGAGCCCATAGACATCTACAACGTAAATGCGCCACCCACCTTGAGATATAAGTTGTAAGGTCTCAATATAGTTACAACGGCTGCCCCACCCTTCAAACCGAAACGCATTACTGCTTCACGGCAGAAATAGGCAGGGCGGTGGTACCTACCCGTGCGGACTCACAAGAGGTCCTACCACCAGTAGTATGTATATTTCTGTCTCGCTCTTTGCTGGCTTCATCCTACACATTTTTGTATTTGTGTCTCTTACCTGTCGTTTTTTCCGTTGCATCCGGTTTGAAATCACAACGATTCTAAAGAAGTTTTCACTTCAAAATACAAATGAGAATGTATTTTACTTTATGCCCGGCAGAGGGGGGGGAGTCTCATCTGGGATGCAACTTCCGTAGACACTTTTGGTGCCAGTCATCTAAGTCGCCCAACTCGAAAGCGAAAAAACTCAACAACAAAGTCAGAACTGATTTTTTTTTTGCACGCAGTACGCGCCGTGTGCGACTATAGACAGCAATAGTTTAGAGCGAGAGCGCATGATCGCTGCCGCCATTTTAGATTCGTTTCTCTATTGGCGCGATTTTTATAAAGAAGTGTTATTACAATCAGCGAATAAGCAGTCCGGCATCTGTTCATATATCTACGTAACGATATCATTGAACTTCTCGCGGACCAAGGACAACACCTTTGGCTTGTATACCAACCAGGATACAAACATGATTTTACTTCATTTGGACCTGCTACTAAACCTCTGTTCACTGTTCACCTGTGACATCACAACTTGTCCCAATGAATTTATTTTATAAAACAATGTATAAATCAGACATATTGTATATAGTTCACTTGTTATTTAAAATAAGTGCAATTAAATTTATGAAATATTTTCTTGCTTTTTATTTTTAAATACATATATGTAAAGATATATATATCTTTACATGTTAGTGCCGTATCATGAGATCAGTGTGCTTAGTGCGAGTTTTTTAACGTTTTCGATAGCGTAAAAGTTAGCTCATATTTGTATGGAATGGGATCGTTTGCCTGCGTTAGCCGCTAGGGGCGCTGTTCTAACTGCATACAAAATTGGGCTAACTTTTACGCTTTCGAGAACGTTAAAAAACTCGTACTAAACACATTGACAGTTGACAGGTAGCTGTGAGAGAGAGATGTACAGCTGCGGGAGAGAGATATACAATGCTTGGCACCGACGGGAACTGATCGAAAAAATAATCAAACTGAAATAATTTTAAAGAGCTTTATTATTACGAACGATTACGATCGGGGACAGGTCTAGGCGGGAGCGGGCTGCGGGGTCAACAGGGGAGGCGGGGGGTTGGGGGAAGGGGAAGGAGACGGGTCCTTGTTCTTCGAGCCCCGTTCCATTTTGGTCTTCTCTCCGTTCATGAGGGCCCGGATGTCGTCCGCGTCGAGGGTCTCGTAGCGCAGCAGCGCGGCGGCGAGGGCGCGGTGCTCGCGCGCGTGCGCCCGCAGGATGTGCTTGGCGCGGTCCAGACTGTCGCTGAGCAGCTTGCGCACCTCGCTGTCGGCCAGGTCGGCCAGCGCGGGCCCGGGCGCCGGCTGCGCGGGGGCCGCCGGCGGGTCCAGCGCCCGCGGGCCCACGCGCTCCGACATGCCCCACTCCCGCACCATGTGCCGCGCCAGCGACGTCGCCTGCTTCAGGTCCGACGCCGCCCCTGTGCGTCCGGGGGCAGTAAGTAATCAGTTCGCAATAAGGAAGTACATTTTTATAAAAGCTTTAAAAGGAATAAAGGGCGGTACGTGTCAGAGTCGCCAGCCCGCCGCCCTCGTCCGCCACTATATAAATGCCATCACTCATCCTTAGACATGGGGTCTAAGTTTCAACTGTATTGTGCACCGGTTGCCCCACCATTCAAACCGGAATGTGTGACCGTTCACACAGCACGGGGCGTGGGGTGTTACTAACCACATATAATTACATATTAATATTAGTCTTTTGCTTTTTCCTATTTTTACTAGTTTCTAATATATTTTTTTTTATTTATCTTTGAAAGGATCCGCTCATCAGTCGGTTCCAGCGGGCACGAGTGACCAACCTGAGGTGATCTTCTCCGGTCCAAAGATGAGTTCTTCAGCCGCCCGCCCCCCCATCATGGTGTCCATCATCGCTAAGAGCTGCTGCTTCGTCTCGTGGTACCTGCCGGCAAGTGCAGCACGCGTTAGCGGATGTGGGGCGGCCCGCGTCGCGCTGAGTGGACGTCAGCCCACCAACAGTCTGTACAGCGCTGGTCATTACCACACCAGGATGGCGCGTTATGTATGTGCGCTGCTTGCTGATTAGACAACGGACGACAGTACTTTTTTTTGACATGACAACGTCTTATAATTCGATGGAGCCGGTTGCACGCACGAAAAAACATAACTCATGAGGCGTTCCATTTAAGGCTTGAAGTGCAAGCGAGAGCGCGCAACGAGCGACAAAGAGGCACAATCGGCCTCCGCGTTCGGCAGCGTTCGACATCTGTCTCTCTCCTACTTGAGTGAGCGATGCATCCGCGTGGACAGCTGCTATACAATAATACATTTACATGCTTTCGTCAATTATGAAGTTCAGTGAAAAGTGAATGTGGTGTCAATTGTTTATAGCAACGATAATTGCGATAATTGAAAAATGAATCTATTTCATCAGTATTTTCTTATGACGTTGTCACGTTCAACTATCGTCAGTAAACCGACTTTACAGACAACCGAATTTTTTTGTAATGGAAAGATTACTGGTGGCCCGGAGACCTTTCCAGTTTCACCAGGACAGGTGGGCGAGTAAATGCTCAGCCAGGAGGGGTGGGATTTGCTAACAGCTGCCCGAGCGCCTCCGAAGGAGACCTAACAACTCAAGTGGAGGACGGTCGTACCTCTCCTTGGCGGGTATGTAGGCGGTGTGGCCCAGCGACGGGCCGCGCGGGATGATGGTCACCTTGTGCAGCGGGTGCGCGTCCTGGGGAGATTACATACTTGTTATTGTCAGGTTATTTATTAACAACGAGGTAATAATTTTCCTTCAAAAACAAAATAACGTTCGATTTAAATAAAAAATAAGATATTTTATTAGAAAAGGACAAAAGGGAATGCAATGTTTTTGAAGTGAAAACTTCTTTAGAATCGTTGTGATTTCAAACCGGATGCAACGGAAAAAATGACAGGTAAGAGACACAAATACAAAAATGTGTAGGATGAAGCCAGCAAAGAATGAGACAGAAATATACATACTATTTAATACAGCGCCATCTGTGAGATTTTTTAATACTAACGTGTGTATGAAAGCTCTTGTAGTGAATTTTAATTTAGGATTATACGTGAAATTAAAATATCAATTCACAGAGGGCGCTACCTTACAATTATTTACTAATGACAAAATTTTACATATACTTAAGACGTTTAGGATAATTGTATTTTAGTTTTGGAAGGTTTCACTTCTACCACGTGTGAATTGCACACATTTTGTTTTTGTTTTTTAAGTCGTACTGTTAACATTTAAATTTAACCTATTTTTCCGCTGTTTGTAAAATTGCTGTAACTGGCTTACATACCAGTACTTCATTTTATACATGTTAATTTTAAGCTTGAATGTTCTGTGTGTATTGCTGTTGGTATGTCTAAATAAATAAATAAATGTTGCTGACGAGGATGTTGATGGCGAAAACAGAGCAAAGTAGAGAAGTAAAGTAAGGAAAGCTAACCCCACCACCATGTGGGATAAATAGCTAGGAAGAGAGAGATTAGAAAATTTGCTTTTTTGCTTATTGCCCTTGTAGGCAGACGAGCATACGGCCCACCTGATGGTGAGTGGTTACCGTCGCCCATGGACTTCAGCAATACCAGGAGCAGAGCCAAGGTGCTGCCTTGACTTTAATGGTAGATGTCTCGTGTGATTCGTACACGTGCTGAATTATTGAAAGGGCATGTTAAAGTTTTCGTTGCGGTGACTCCGCCAGGGTCGTACACGTGCGAGCAGTCCGGCGACACGGAGACCAGAGTTCCAAATAGGTTTTTGTCAAACTTCATGACGGGGGGTCCAGACGAGACGGTACATATTCACGTACCTTAGTAAAATAAGCGACAACAGCATGGCCCCCCTCGTGGTAGGCGGTGATGGTGTTGGCCTCCTCGTCCGGGAGCCGCCCCCGGCGCTCGGGACCCATCAGCACCTTGTCCCGGGCGTCCTCCAGGTGCTTCATGGTGACCGTCTTGGCGCCCTCTATAGCTGCCCTGGAAGCCATACCGGACACGCACTTAAGACGTTTTGAATGTCAACTAATCCAGGTATACTAAAGATTATTAATCAAAGTATAGTGAATTTTCTGGTGGTAGGACCTCTTGTGAATCCGCACGAGTAGGTACCACCACCCTGCCTATTTCTGCCGTGAAGCAGTAATGCGTTTCGGTTTGAAGGGTGGGGCAGCCGTAGTAACTATACTGAGACCTTACAACTTATATCTCAAGGTGGGTGGCGAATTTACGTTGTAGATGTCCATGGGCTCCAGTAACCACTTAACACCAGGTGGGCTGTGAGCTCGTCCACCCATCTAAGCAATTAAAAACAAAAAACAAAATCGGTTATAACGACGGCGGAGGGGGCACTTTAATGTCGTCGCTATATCCGATATAATAAAAAGTCATGTACTTAAGTATTTATTAATCATTTATTTAATTACGGTATACACGGCCCACACGGGTGTTATTGAAAAAAAACGTGTTATAGTGCCCTGTTTAAGTTTAGTTTTTTTCTGCACGCTGTAAGGTGTATTCCATTTTCATAATTACTTCTACATCTAAATTATTTTGAACTTCACCAAATAAACAGTACTTTTTGAGCGTTGTTATAACATATAATGCATCTCTAGTTGTTGCAATTTCATTTAAATTGCAATCATCTTCCTCATCCTAATTTTCTTGTATGAAGCACAGATGCAATAATTTCATTATCAGTCAAGCTATCAGTAGTGATAATTTGATCATCAATATTCACATAAGTTTCCCGTGCTGAGTAGAGGACTACTTAGCACAGATGGTCAAGGAACATACAAACAAGGCATTTGTTTGACCATCTGTGAATGTAAACAAAGTATAAGAAAGCTTAATAGTTTTATGAATGAGTCTTTGTGCCTTTGCCGACTCAATACCAATATCCGCAAGGGATTTCTGGGAATCTGTCATAAATAGGTCATAAAAACAAGTCGCTATACCCGAAATGGTCGCTATATCCAAAGTCGCTATAACCGAATGAAATTCTTAGGAAAGTGTGCTTTAAATTCAAGGGACGTCGCTATAACCAAAAAGTCGTTATAACTGAGGTCGTTATTAATGAAATCCACTGTAATCACGATTAGCAGGAGTGTGTTCGTGTGCTATACCTGAGCGCGGCCTGGTTGACCATGTTCTCGAGGTCGGCGCCGGTGAAGCCGGTGGTGGCGCGCGCCAGCTCCTCGGGCTGCACGTCGGGGTGCGCCCGCACGCGCGACACGTACAGCCGCGCCAGCTCCACGCGCCCCACGTAGTCCGGCAGCGGCACCGTCACCTACACAACCACACCACCTCACCGCCTGCCAACCCATCCCGGCACGGACCGCCCCCGGCACTGCTGGTAGGTACCACCGCCCTGCCTATTTCTGCCGTGAAGCAGTAATGCGTTTCGGTTTGAGGGGTGGGGCAGCCGTTGTAACGGTACTTGAGACTTTAGAACTTATATGTCGAGGTGGGTGGCGCATTTATTTTGTACACGTCTATGGGCTTCAGTAAACACTTAACACCAGGTGGGCTGTGAGCTAGTCGACCCATCTAAGCGATAAAAACATCAGGTGGGCCGTATGATCGTCTTCATACAAAGGAAATAAAAAAAATAAAAAACTTTTTGGCGGGAACGCGAGGAGTGAAGTTGTGTGATTCGTTTTATTTTGTCTATTTAGTGTTTCTTCAGGTCGAAATATGTAATAACAGTAGTTATTTCATCCCATATTATCTCATCTCATTTAATTTCATTTCATCCCAGTTGATTTTTAATGTCTCAAATTAATCATTTTCATTTTATTTCATTTCACTCCATATAATCATTTTTCATAAAAATATGAATATAAATTAAAATAAGACATGGCTTAAAGGTCTTAGTTACCAAGTCATAAAAGCTCTTAAAAAAAAAGAGCACCTGCCTTCTTCCTACCTAATCTGATCTTCAAAGCCTATATCAGCGTAACCGGGCGAGTAGGTGAGCTCACAGGGCTCAAACCTAACGTTGTTACTAACACGAGCCGTGCTTCGCAGAATCTACTACCGGATCGGAAACAAGACCCACTGAGAAGATCCGGCGAGAAACTCAGTGGGCTGTGTCTGTACTTATGCATAATTGACTTCAGATTCTCAATCTCTGCACCACAAACCAAATTGAGGGTAGACATGACGGGACACAGCGTTGTGATCTTTCTAAATCTTCACAGATGACTACCTTGAATTGTACAAGGGTAAGACAGCTCTGTTACCTCAACATCAAATCGTCCCGGCCTGAGCAAGGCCTGGTCTAAGTCATCCCTCCTGTTGGTGGCGCCCAGAACGATCACACCCTCGTTCTGATGGAAACCGTCCATCTCTGATAGAAGCTGATTTATCGTCTGCAATACAAATGATGTGATGGCATTAGTACAAACATATTGTGGAGTGTTAATGTTTGAGAAAAGTAAGCTAATGAAATGTAAAAAAATAATCTATATATTAATACGTGAAGCAACAACGTTGTACCCGTTTTTACAAAAATTATGCAGATGGAGGAGTATGAAATTTCCCACACTTATAGAGAATATAGAGAAGGAGTGCACAACGCTAATATTTTTTTTAAATTATGGAATAAAAATACATTAAATCAACAAAGAAAACATTAGACACCCTACCATGTATTTGATGCACACACGTATTCATACTATTTATTTATTGTCGTAACTTTTGTTCTTGACGTCTGTTGTCAAATTGAGAATAGATTAAATTTAATATTGTTTGTCTTTATTAATATTTTTCTATAGTGTAGTCTTGGCGAAATTTGTGATTATAGAAGTATAATAGTCTTTGAAAATAGAATCATAATTATAATTTACAAACTTATAATTTCAATTAATTATAGTCGAATTTCGACTACCGGGTGACCACTATAATATTAAATTATGAAAAATTAAAGGAAGATGACACAAGGTGTCAACGCACTACAGCTGTCTATGACGGGGTCAACGACCCTGGAGTCACCTGTCAAAAGGTCGATGACCCCGGGGTATTCTGTGGCGCACGCTTGATTCCTTTGCTTTAAACTGACTGATCAGTTGAGCTGATAGAGCACGGACCTGGTTGGCGTAGGGGTGCAGCACGCTGTTGGTGCGCTTGGCTCCCACCGAGTCTATCTCGTCTATGAAGATGACGCAGGGCGCTCGCTCCTTGGCCGCCTCTGGGAACAACATTGTATTGCACTGGTAATCGTGACCGTCATCTCCCATTAATCTGGAAACTACTTATTTGTGGCTAATCTACTTACTTAGAGACATGCTATTTGGTTTAAAAATAAAGGTATGGTTGTGAATAAATTACCAATTACCACCATAGCATAGACCAGTGCAGACATTCTCGGCGGCACAATCTCGGTGGCGAGTAGCACGCGCGGTTCAAGCTCAAATAGCTTCATCAGTTTAAGTGTAATCTCACTCATTACAGTAAAGAAGTTAAAACAACAACAATTGTCCGCTCACTGAACAAGTCCCGGACTCTGCGAGCCCCCTGTCCCACCAGGATCTCGTCGAACTCCGGTCCTGCCGCATGGAAGAACGGCACCCGAGCCTCGCCGGCCACCGCCCGCGCCAGTAGCGTCTTGCCGGTGCCGGGGGGGCCCACGAGCAGCACGCCCTTGGGTAGTTTACCACCCAGTGTTGAAAACTTCTCGGGGGACTTTAGGAATTCCACCTGGAATACCAGAATACTCATGAATATATTATGTAACAACGTTTCGCGGTTTAAGGCAAGGGGAGGACCTTGATCTTGGAAGAAAGAAGCTGTCACCCGCTCAGTGAATGGTCCTAATGTTCTTTTTCTCAGCTCACATATACACACATTCACACGCACGCACGCACACACGCACACACGCACGCACACACACACACGCATAATGACCTTCTTAAATGATAACACCTAATGATCTCTCAACACTAGTCCGCAGCATCTGTTCACAACTTACCCTAACCTAATCTATCTTAAGAAGGAGGGAGCCTGGAGATCAGTAATGCAGGTCTTTGAACCTAGTACAGACATCAGCTCTTTCAAAGGCTTACAAAATAAATTATAAGGTTAATTTCTATTTGTATTTGTACTATACCTTTAAGAGACAAATAAATAAATATTATTATTATTTTCGGAGCCTGTATATATGTGACCTTGTCTTGAAAATGTCGTTAGCGACTTACAGGCACCTGGCCAATGTTCCCTGTTGTACACCAGCTGCCCGCGACATACCAGAGGCCAGCAGGAGGGTGGGATGGTTCCAGCAGTACCAAGTCATCGCCTACACTAATTACATTCGCTAGTACCATTAGTCAGTATTCCAAATTACCACTTCCTGCAGTTCTTGTTTGGCTTCGTCAGCGCCCTTGACATCGTCGAAGGTAACGGAGATATCTTCGGGGTCCACCTCCACCTGGTTCCCGAGCTGGATCCTGCGCATGTTTATTTCACTGATTATTGGGAACCTTTTTAAGTTGCACGCGCTTTGCGGCGCCGGAGGGGGGTTGGGGGGCGGTGCTCGGGTTCGAGCTTACGTCAGACGTCCTACACGTGTACAGCACACTGGAAATATCGAACCAGGACAGGCGTTAATGGTCATCTGAAGGGAATAGATAGGCCAACTAGACCAGCCTTACGAGAGGCCTAACTACGTCTGTATGTAAATCAACTAAACCAGGCAGGAGGTTTTTGATCCACCCAAGCAAAGAAAAGGCTGATACCGAGTAGCCTCACACACCGGCGGGTTGGGAGACATGACCCCGCTCGTGTTTTTTTTTAATGCTTAGGTGGGCGGACAAGCTCACAGCCCACCTGATGTTAAGTGGTCACTGGAGCCCATGGACATCTACAACGTAAATGCGCCACCCACCTTGAGATATAAGTTACAACGGCTGCCTCACCCTTCAAACCGAAACGCATCACTGCTTCGCGACTGAAATAGGAGGGGTGGTGGTACCAACCCGTGCGGACTCACAAGAGGTCCTACCACCAGTAAAAGGTAGTATGATCCCTATATGTTGTATGTAGTAATCGAGGTGTATCTTTGTGAAACTCAGAGGCTGCTGCTGTCCATTCTCTGGCCAATCCCTTAATCTCCTTTTACGCCCTCCAACGTGAAGAGATGGGGTACCACCATAGACCGACACAGAACAGTAATGTTTATACAGGATTACACTTCTTACACTGAGTAATTAATCAAGTATTTTGCATATTTCGTTCTTGTATACTAATATTATAAATAGGAAAGATTTGTTTGTTTGTTTGTATTGAACAGGCTCCGAAACTACTGAACCGATTTGAAAAATTCCTTCACTGTTTGGAAGCTACACTAGTCCCGAGTGACATAGGCTATAATCTTTTTTGGAAAAAATTAGGGATCCTTACTAAAACTCCAATAATGTAACCCAAGGTGTAAAAAATTGCCGAAAATATCCTTTACATCGCGTGCCCTGCGAAAACTATTGATGATAGAATAAAATAATGTACTACAACTTTGCAGAACACATTATTATTTACAATATTATATATAGTTATACCGCAATAAGTGTTCTTTTATTTAAAAAAAAATAAAACTACGTCGTTGAAATTTTTGCTAAAGACCCGAGCGAAGCCGGAGGGGGTCGCTAGTTTTTTTATATGAACGTATAATAAACAAAGAAGGTATAAATAAACTAAAATAACTAGTTACCGGAAGACAGTTCCGCTGACCGACGCCATCAAACTCACAAAGATTGCAAGAAAGAGAACTATGGTGAGGAGCTGCTGGACCAGCTTCAGGTACTTGGAAGCTTTCGTACCGCGTACGTTCTCGGGATGGGACCCTGGTTTATGCAACAAACAAATGTTTTCACGAGTCATGGGCACGAATTAAAAACAATTTACGACTACTTATCGGACTTCGACGTCCAAAAAATATTATTAATCTATACATATAAATAAAATTAGAGTGTCTGTTTGTAGTATTGAAATAACCACTTTTTACTACATGCATATGAATATATATACGGTACATACACCAAAATATCATTTTTTACAATTTTTGTCTGTCTGTCTGTTTGTTCCGGCCAATATCTGGAACGGCTGAACCGATTTTGATGAGACTTTCACTAATAGGTAGCTGATGATATAAGGAGTAACTTAGGATACTTTTTTCAGACTAGCTTCGCCCCGCGGCGTCACCCGCAGTTATTGTCGTACCGCGCGCAACATGGCGGGCTTCGCCTATCAATAATAATAGTACATTGTGCACCAAGGGAGAAAAGTTGGACATTTCCTCCCGCGGTTGGTAAACATGTGGGAGGAAATGTCCAACTTTTTTCCTGCGGTGCACATACAATTTTTTCTCCTACCAGGCCGAAAGTTTGTGGAGTACCGAGCCGGGGTCCAGGGGCGAAGCACCGGCGGGGGTAGGAGGGCCGAGCCCCCCTTACTCATAAAAAAAACAATTTAACTGTTTTTGAATTTTTAAATAAACTACTACTAATTAAATAAGAACTGTCTGATGAACTCATCTTTGTTTTATACTTCACTATTAAATTTTATTGCCTTTTGTTTATTTCACTTTTACACTAAACACAATATTGCAAATTACCCGAGCACAACAATGGCGGAGAATTTTATGTGCGTGCGAGCAGACGTAGACATTAACGCGCATGCGCACTTGTCAGTACCCAGGGAGAAAATGTTACACTTTCTTCCCTGTACAGCGGAAGGAAAACCGAACTTTCAACGTCGTTAGGAAAAAAAATTAATGTTTCCGAAGCGAAGCGAGGGCGGGTCGCTAGTAATGAATAATAGAAATCGTACCCGCTAAATAGCCTTCAGCGAATGCAATCTTGATCTTGTCCTTCTGCTGGTGAGTGAGATGGTTCGCGTCATCGTTAAGTAATTTGTCCAGTCGAGGTGCAACTTCAGGGTTGAGCGGGGGGTGCTTCTCTGTTGAACTCGTTGCAGCCAACCCTAAAGACAGCCATTGGTTTCAACTTTTACATGTCGTCTAAACATTTGTATTACAGTAAGACCTTGCTTAGTGCTGTTTTAATTGAATTGTGGGATTCCCCGAAATTGCACGCAGCGTTTTTTTTTTTATTGCTTAAATGGGTTATGAGCTCATCCATCCACCTAAGCAATAAAAATAAAATAAAAAACCTGGCCAATTGTCTAGCCATGTTCCCCCTAACCCCATTATTTGTTTTATTTACATGATGAGATAACCTCGTTTATTATGTTCTACTTTGATAGAACATATAACCGCGTTAAGCAGGGTCTTACTGTCATTTTATGAGCGAAATTTTAAGCAAGAACAGATGATGCTTCGCTATCAACATGAACGCAATGAAAGCTGATTAACCAATGTTACTATGGACGACAGTGAAAAAGAAGATATCAGGTGATAAAAGATAGTTCAAAATAACACACAGTTGGTACACCACTCCTAAAACTACACTTTTTAAAAGCATTCATGGTTATCAGAAATTAGAGAAAGAGAGAGAGTGTGTTGTTTATTGCAGACTACAACACTATGTTAACATTGAAAAACAGTTGAAAAGCAGATATAATTGTTTAAATATAGGCGATCTTATCACTAAAAGCTATCTCTTCTAGACAACCATTTTTATCTAGAGAAATTCAGAAAAAGATATGGCAGATATGTCATATCTCTAGATGGATGGTGGCTTTTACTGATGTCTATGCTCGTGGCTACTTAACCCCAGGTGGCAAATAAAAAAATAGGTATGTTTTGGTGCACATCTTGAGCAATATTTAGAGTGATCTGTAACAAGTAGACCAAAACATTACGCAGAGTATTAAATAAGGGGTCATCCACTGGAATGTGACATTGTGCAGCAAGGGGCAGGCCAAAGGTCTATGACATCACACGTTAAGATATAAATTACTAAAACGCGAAATTTATATATATATATATGTATATATATAAACTTTGTTTTGTAGCTGCTGCCGATTGGTTGCTAGGAGGCAAATGTCATCAGCAAAGTCGATGTCCTCAAGGTCTTCATCCGCGGTCCAAGGCAGTCCTTGTCGGCATTTACAGGTGACTCTACGCATCACATCATCAAGCACCATTATAAACAGCAGGGGAGACAGCAAGCAACCTTGGTCCACATCGTATAAATAAAGCCAGAGCCGCGTTTAGTCAACTTAGGCCAGTGTGGAGTTCCTCAACCTTAACAAGACGAACAAAGGTGAGGATCTTCAACTCAAATGTAAAGTCTGTATTGCTGTACGGGAGCGAAACTTGTTTTGTTCGCAAGGACTTGATCAAAAAACTTCAAGTGTTTGTGAATAAGTGCCTGCGTCAGATTTTGAAAATCTTTTGGCCTGAGAAGATCACTAACAAAGAGCTGTGGAGGATCACTAAGCAGACACCAATGGAGAAGAAGATCCTTTCGCGGAAGTGGCATTGGATTGGTCACACTTTGAGAAAGCCCGATACACACCTATCAAAGAGAGCACTGACCTGGAAAGTGTCTGGTAAAAGGAAGAGAGGCCGCCCCAGAACAACTTGGCGTCGCTCGGTGGAGCAGGAGCTAGGGGTCTTGGGCATGACGTGGGAGGAGCTAGAACAGACTGCCCAAGACCGATATAAATGGAAAAATTTGATTCGAGCCCTACACCCCAGCAGAGGGTAATAGGAAAGCATGATGATGATGATGATGATATAAACTTTAAACTCAATCTAATTTACTGATGCTTTAGAACTCTTGCTATGAAATTATCTCTCACGCTACAACATTCAACTTCAAAAGCAGTGTTTTAATGTAAGTGACACACTAAAACTAAAATCCACGACAGTTCTGAATGATAAGGGTTTAAATAGACTTAAGTCGGCGGCAAGTATTCTTAAAGAGTGTCTTATTGCGGATTATAAAAAAAAAATAAAGAGGGATTATTTTTAAATACATTCACAAAAATTAAATTATGTGCCACGTAACATCAGGGGGAAGGGGGAGGTAAAAATGTGAAAACCCGTGATTAAGATGGGAGGGTAGGTTAAAATTCATGTGACGTAATTTATGGATGCCCCTTGGCCCCCTTGTTGGCACACTTCTCACTGCAGCCGCTAGTGCATTTCATGATAGAATTCACTATTTGTGAATGAACAATCAAAGAATGATTAATATGCAAGTATTTTCAGTCAGCATATCACAAAGGAACTTGAAATATTCTTTGAAAACATGGTATGGTATGGAGATAAAAGAGAATACAATAAAGTAAAGAAAGGACAGTATGAAATATTATGACGAAAGCAAATTGGCACATACTTCAGATACATGATCATATTTATATAAATCAAATATGAAACTTATATACAGGAATTTGGTAGCAGCTCAAGTTTAACAAATTATTCTTTGTTTAGATCAAGAAATTGGCATTAGCATAATCAAAGACTGGAGGGAAAGACTGCGAATGCAGATTTAGTGGCAGTTGGAAGAAAATTTCGTAACCATCCCAGAGATGCAGCTAATGCAAGCACCAGTATAACTAATATGAATTTAAGCGTAGTCATGTATATCATATCACATAAACTTTTATATAGATCTGTACATCATCTGCATAGAAACGGTGGGAAATAGTTAGTTGTAGAGAAATAAAATTTACAAAAATTGAAAACGTTTAAGGATTTAAAACTGTAACCTATGATAACCAACAAAATTTTATGCTAATTTAGATGCAATTTAGAGCCACCAACTTACACAACTTGAAATTGGTCTCCAGAATTCAGTCTTCTCTCATAAGGACTTACTTCAGTTCAGTAAGTTATACTCAGTCAAAGCAAAGTTAATGCAAAACCAGCAATGTAACACACAATACTGACCCAATAACTTACGTAGTNTAAACTGTAACCTATGATAACCAACAAAATTTTATGCTAATTTAGATGCAATTTAGAGCCACCAACTTACACAACTTGAAATTGGTCTCCAGAATTCAGTCTTCTCTCATAAGGACTTACTTCAGTTCAGTAAGTTATACTCAGTCAAAGCAAAGTTAATGCAAAACCAGCAATGTAACACACAATACTGACCCAATAACTTACGTAGTCTATTAACCAGGTTCGGATTTCTTTTCAGATCTGCACTGATGCTTCGATCCGTCTTAAATCCTCTTACTTGAATGTTGTACTTGAATGTACTGTTTGTGTTTTGACATAATAGGCGGATAAAGTTATCGGAGAGGTTAAATCTGAAAATAAATTTCACGTAATATAAGCAGCTCTCATGTTCATGTATGCTCAGAGTTCGAATTATCTCATACACTCATTAAATAGTGACTCCCTACTGGACCTTTCATTAGTCGTTTGGTTAACAGAAAATAATTACACAATTAAACTTTTCAGTGTCCCATATGATCTTTAGAAGTAGGCTTGCGTGAGAAAAAATTACTAACATCTAAGTCAGAACAGTCCATGGTAACTTAAAACATTAAAATGCATAAAGCAGAATATGTTTCTATTGGATGACATAGAATGTTGATGAACATTCCTATCTCTCAAATTACTGTTCTTCTGATTAATCGTATTACAATAATTTGCCAAAAGTTTTACACTAATACTTAATTTGCCATTTGTAAAGCTATAATACTTTACACAAATGCTATTTGTTTACAAAATATGTGAATATGTATTTCCATCCATTTATGCAACAAAAGCATCACAACATGAATGGCACATCTTTCCCATGCAAGTGGATAATGTTGTTCAATAGTAATAATTGTTTAATCAATACAGAAGTTACATCATAGTCTCAGAACATTTGCAATAAATTATTTTTATAGAGAAAATGATTAGATATTGATTTTATTTTATTATTACTTTGTAATGACTTTAGCAGCCACATACCGTGTGTTTTTCCCTCGTAACTCCACTGTAACACTAGGAGTATCACTCCAACCATTCCTGTTTTTCTCAAAAGATTCACTTGAAGTGTAAGACACTTTTCTACAAGATGTAACACCGCCAAAATCGTTGAGCGACCTTCTAGACGACGCGGCGATCGTGGCCAACGATCGGAGGTCGACACTTCGCATCTCCGCTAGTACATTCTTATCGAAATTCTTCAAACACTCTTCTAAGCTTTCGCGGCAAACTTGAGTCTCGCATGCAGCACTGGCGCTTTCTTTCCCCTTCACATGTTTGTCTTTTAAGCTATTTTGCTTTCTGTGCTTGAAAAGGTTGCCGTATCGACACGATAACTGACTAAAACTGATTAATATCTGCAATGACGAAAGGTTATGATGAATGTCAATATACGTATTTGAAAGATTTGTATTTAATTTTAGAAATATTGCTAATAGATAATTTTTCCCTAAATATTACCTGATTTTGGGTGTTTATAGAATTCAATGAGAACATGTTACATGAAGCTAGATTGTATGTTTTTGTAGTTTTTTTGAAGTGCACTCGAAAATTTTGTCAATTTCTTGGGAGGTAGGTACGTCAAAATTTTCGTGGTGCAAAAGAATGGTNAGCACCGAACCTTGTGGAACACCAGCGTTGATGGTCATGGTATCGGAGCAGCAGCCGTCGACGACAACTGCGATGCTCCGTCCATCCAAAAAGCTAGCGATCCACTTGCAGAGTCCCTCAGGGATCCCGTATGCTGGAAGCTTCGATAGAAGTGCCCTATGCCAGACCCTGTCGAAGGCCTTCGCGATGTCAAGGCTCACAGCGAGAGCCTCGCCCTTGCTTTCCAAGGCTTCAGCCCATTTATGTGTGAGGTATACAAGAAGATCGCCAGCTGAGCGACCATGACGGAAACCGTACTGCCGGTCACTGATCAGCTGGCGATCCTCAAGATACTTAAGAAGTTGGATGTTTATGATTCGCTCCATCACCTTGGAAAGCAAGGAAGTTATCGCGATAGGTCTGTAATTCGAGGGGTCCGACCGGTCACCCTTCTTGGGGATAGGGTGGACATGAGCAGTCTTCCATGAAGACGGAACCCTGTTGGTATTGTACGAGAGGCGATATAGACGCGTTAGCGCGGGTGTCAATTCAGGGGCGCATGTTTTTAGAACCACTGCGGGGATGCAATCTGGCCCACTCGACTTATGGACATCAAGAAGCCGAAGCTCCTGCCTGACCGCACGCGAATCTCAGGCATGGAGCTGTCACTCATCACGTTTTATTTACCATAAATTCATCCAAATTAATTAGTCTCAAATTAATCAACTCTACATGACAGAATAGGCATGTATTCACTAAATGAAGCTTTTTATAAGCTCGGTACTAGCAATAATGGCATCTCAAGAAGTCAACATCCCTACATATCAAGAGAAAAGTGTCTGACCTTCTTTCCACTCATAAAGACCATTTACTGAGGTCTTGGGAAAGTATTTGGAATAGCTGTAGCTGGCAAAAAGGCCGTTATTATATAATTTACAGCAACAAATTCCTCTAAAAATGTGGTTCTCTAAAATGAATCTGTGTAAGCTTGAAACTTCCTGTATTATAATAATGTATAAATTAATGAATAATGAAATTATAGCAGAATATAAGAATGAATAAATTATACCATTTATTGAAGTATTTACATGCTTCGAATCTCTGCTATACAATTAAAATAGATTATTTTACCGAATTACTGGTGGTAGGACCTCTTGTGAGTCCGCGCGGGTAGGTACCACCGCCCTGCCTATTTCTGCCGTGAAGCAGTAATGCGTTTCGGTTTGAAGGGTGGGGCAGCCGTTGTAACTACACTTGAGACCTTAGAACTTTTATCTCAAGGTGGGTGGCGCATTTACGTTGTGGATGTCTATGGGCTCCAGTATCCACTTAACACCAGGTGGGCTGTAAACTCGTCCACCCATCTAAGCAATAAAATTTTTTTTGTAAGATCGCACTTCAGCACATCAAAAACTGCAAAGGCGTGAGAGCTATGCCAAATACGAAAAATACTACAATAATCAGGAGGCCTCTTACGAATATCTAAGCGATCCTTACTTATGAGATTTTACTTTTTAGTAATTGTCTCATTGCAGTATACATATTTGTAGATGTCGAATCGATTAATGGAGTAAATATGTTTGAGAGGATTTTGGACTGAATACGTATGCAGCTGTGTCTAATAACTTGATAACCTTCAACATTTGTCTTGCAAAAATTCTTTTCAAAGTGGCCAACATTTCTAAAAAATAACACTTTTCACTATATAGGTTAATTTACCTTATGTTAGATAAATAGTACGCATTTAACTGCTTAGAGCATCATATCACAGTTATATTTATTACAGTTATCATTGTGTTAGCGCTTAAAACTACATAAGTCTGTTGTGGTATTTAAAATATCGATATATACTATATTGACAGTAATACATGCGATATTCAATATTAAAAATAAATTTAATTATAATTAAACAAAAAAAATATATAAAAATATAGGTTTTTTTTTATTGCTTAGACGGTTGGACGTGCTCACAGCCCACCTGATGTTAAGTGGTTACTGGAGCCCAGAGACATCCACAACGTAAATGCGCCACCCACCTTGAGATATAAGTTCTAAGGTCTCAGTATAGTTACAACGGCTGCCCCACCCTTCAAACCGAAACGCATAACTGCTTCACGGCAGAAATAGGCAGGGCGGTGGTACCCACCCGCGCGGACTCCCAAGAGGTCCTACCATCAGTAATTACGCAAATTATAATTTTGCGGGTTTCATTTTTATTACTCGACTAGCGACCCGCCCTCGCTTCGCTTCGGAAACATTCAAACACATGAAACCAAAAAAAATAAAAAAATAAAATAAAAAAAGTAGCCTATGTTCATCAGGGACAATGTCGGCTTCTAATGGAAAAAGAATTTTTCAAATCGGTCCAGTAGTTTCGGAGCCTATTCGAAACAAACAAATCTTTCCTCTTTATAATATTAGTATAGATGTTATCCTTCACCGTGGAAGTCAATCGTGAACATTTGTTGAGTACGTATTTCATTAGAAAAATTGGTACCCGCCTGAGATTCGAACACCGGTGCATCGCTCAACACGAATGCACCGGACGTCTTATCCGTTAGGCCACGATGACTTCGAAGGTATAAAATATACCTAACAGATCGAAACATTTTTATACTCCTTGAACGCTTATTCACCATTTTCGTGGTGAAAGAATGATGAAGACATATAACTCATCTACTCGTTGCAGCTTGCAAAGCATCTGTTTCATTTGATATTCTTAGTTTTGAAAGTGTGATTATTTACCAAAAATGTCAGTAGGTACATATATAGCTACTTAAATATGATGAGTATAAAGTAGATAGAGAGGATTAGAGAATAATCGCCAGATTTTAATGAGTTTTTGAGAGCTATCACAGAGAACAGTTCGATTTTAAGCCGACAATAACAAACTAATCACCTAAACCTTCTTCAGAATTTTGCATTCCCTATCACCAACAACAAAAGTGGAACATACAGAAGTCTAAGATTTTTGTAAGTTCCACAAGAAGTCATGAAAAAGGCTATTACTAGTTTTTAACTAGTATGCATACAACTGTACATGACTAAACTATTGACAAATAAATTTTCTCAAGTTCCATTGCAGTCATGAACGCATCCGGATTTAGCAAGTCCTAAGAGTTGTCTATGTTTTATTTGGACAGTAAATTCCAAAATGGCGACGAGCGATGACGAGCCTATGCATTTATATGAAGTATTTCAAAACTGTTTCAATAAAATAGCAAATAAACAACAAGGTGAGTTAGAAAATGCATACCGTGGCTCGACTCGCGTTCCTCGAACGGACAGTGTTGTTCAAGTGAAGTGTTCCATTGTGAAAAACGTTAAAAGTGTTTGCGTGTTATGCCATTCTTGTGTTGCAAAGAAGCTGCATTTTTGATAATTACTCTTAAATAATGCACCCAACGTCTTGACAACGGTGTTGTTGTTATTCTTGAATGTATATCACAGGTTATTTAATTATTCACGAAACATGTATAGCTAGAAAAAGGCGTATAAAGGCTATGTTTTGATCGCGTTGTACGAAATGTGCCTACACCATTGTGCTTTCGTGAATTCAGTGCGAAACTGAATTGTTAAAATGGATTTATTTACTTTGACGTCTTCGCTCACGTTGTAACGAGGTAATCAAATAATATATGTAAAGAAAAATACTTTGTATAACGTCACAAAATAATGTCTACTAAAATGAGATTTTTCGGTGCATATTTTTTGTCAATAGGCAAAGTATCCGAACAGTGTATTGTGCACGTTTATGGCGGGATTGTAAATGGCTATCGAAGAGGTTTTTACGTTCAGTTAGCGTGTATGTTTACATGATTTTGTTTATTTACACATGTAACGCGCCGACGTCGAGTCTTATGTTATCGTGTGTTTATCACATACGTATTAAACTTGTGCGAACGGCGCTTGAGATTTATAGACGAAAAACTGTTTTGGTTCGTTTTTGACCCGTCGTTTTTCAAATCACAAAATCAAATCTAACTAATACTAAAACCACTTGCTCATCAACTGTCCTTTGGAGTATCCACCTTATATCGTGTCTATAGTGATAATTTCTACTGTGATCTGCCATTTTCATGGTGGTTTGATTTCAAGCGACTGGAACATATACAAGTTGAACTAGCTTTATTCAAAAACAACAAAAAATAAGTGTCAGTTTTAATTGTTCATTAGTTTTGATCAATAGAGATTTGGGGTCCACCTATATTTATACTTTTCTCTACTAGATGCTTAATCTTCACTAAAGCTTAGTAAATATTTGTATATTTAATCATTGATTGCATAATACCTTTAAAAAAAAAACTGCAGTTTTATGTTCAGTGTTTGTCTTTTCCAATTATGTTCTTCTCTATCATCAAATAAGTCAAATAAGTGTAAATAAACCATTAAGACCAAAATGTGTTTGTAGAGACACAATAAAAATGAAATAGGCTACAAATGGAGAAAGTTCCATATTTCAGAAGTTGTTTAATCTTAAACAGTCCTAAATTATTATCAAATACGTAATTCAAGTTAACAAATTGAAATAGAATTTATAGTTAAAAAAGTAAAGCAGCATACTACTGCCAATTTCACACATTAGATGGCTCTGTTAGAATACCGACCAAGAGAAAGATAGGCAATTTTAGAGAACTCAGTTGTCTGGGAAAGGTTGATAACTGATTCGTAAATAAGATTTGCATAAATACTTCATAAATAATAGAAATATCCAATTTACAAAATGAATAAGTATTTGAATTAGCTTTAACATATAAATAAAAAATAATTATAAAGAAACAAGATAAAAAAAAACGATACCCAACAGATGTTCAGATATTCTAGATTTTACTAATTCATAGCTGTTTTTGTTTCCAGCAAAAAAATGTCAAATTTAAATTCGATGATAAATGAGAATCTGTCTAGATGGACTTCTAATATTAAAATTCATGAAGTTGATGCATAAAAACAAAATTCTACCGGAAATTCTAAAACCGCAGATGTCGTGGTCGATGTAA